CTCAGTAGGGCAGGGCGGCGCGGGCCAGCAGTGCAGGGCTGTGCAGGCCAGTAGTGCAGGCCAGCAGTGCAGGGCAGTTCAGGGCGGTGCAGGCCAGCAAGGCAGTGCAGGGCAGTGCAGGGCAGCAGGGCAGTGCAGGGCGCCGCTCAGTAGGGCAGGGCGGCGCGGCCAGTGCTTACACGTGCAGGCAGGGCAGGGCAGTCGCGCTTGCTGGCACTACACAGGCACTACGCTGGCAATGACAGTAGTGCAGTAGAAGCAGGGCAGTTGCAGCAGTAGGGCAGTAGGGACAGCGGGCCGGCGAGGTGTAGGGCCAGTGCAAGTGCACGGGCGGCAGGGCAGGTGCGCACGGGCCTGGTGCGGGCTGTACGGACTGCGTGCAGGCCTGGCGCGGGCCGTACGGGTTGCGTGTTAGTCGTGCGCGGGCCGTACGGGCTATACGCGGGCGGCGCGCGGGCTGTATGGGCGGCGCGAGGGCGGCGCGCGGGCTGTATGGGCTGCGCGAGGGCGGCGCGCGGGCTGTACGGGCTACGCGCGGGCGGTTCGCGGGCTAAACGGGCCTGGCGCGGGCTGTACGGTCCACGCTCGGGCGGTTCACGGGCTAAACGGGCCGGGCGCGGGCTATACGGTCTACGCTCGGGCGGTTCGCGGGCTAAACGGGCAGATTTCGGGCAGGAAAAAAAGGCTAATCGGTGGGCCCTAAATAAAAAATGGTCCTTAGGAAGGACCCGCTCTATACCATGTCGAGAATAATAGTGTGTCCATTAGGTCAAGGGGAGGGGTACAAGCACAACATCGAGTGAATTTCTGTACCCCCTAGTGCTAACACCCATATAGCCTAGACAACATAAGCATATATGTTTTGACAGTACGTGTCAGAATATTATGCTCTAGCCTGTAGTGGGGTGCTCTATAGCGAGTACAACCCTTCTAGGGTTTGCTATTTGTATCCTCATTCTTGCTAGTGCAACCCTCCTCTTCTTCCTTTTAAACTTTCACATGCTATCAGAGCAGGTCGATCCCCTTGGATCGATCCTGTGGGTGGGCTCACCACCTCGTTGCTTCCGCTGCAACTTCCACTGCTACCCTCTGTGCCGCACGCCCCGTGGCGTGCGGCAGTTTTTCTTCCCGCCGTGCGCCCCGAGGCGCGCGGCGGTTTTCTGCCCGCCGTGCGCCCCGTGGCGCGCGGCGGTTCTCTGCCCGCTGTGCGCCCCGAGGCGCGCGGCGGGCTTCTGCCCCGTCACTCGGCGCGTCGCCCTCGGGAGGTGCTGCGACGGGCGACGGGGACCCGCGCGTCGCCCCCCGTCGCCCGTCGTGGCCTGCGCGCGGCCCGTACAGGCTGCGCGCGGCCCGTAAGGGCTGCGCCAGGCCCGGACGCGGCCCGTACGGGCTGCGTCAGGCCAGCGCGCGGCCCGTACGGGCTGCGCCAGGCCCGCGCGCGGCCCGTACGGGCTGCGCCAGGCCCGCGCGCGGCTCGGGCCGCCTGCGCGCGGTTCGGGCGGCTGTGCCAGGCCCGTGGGCGGCCCTTTCTTCGCTGCCCCTGCCCTCCCCGCTGTCCCCCGTGCTTCTACTGGCGCCCCACCCCTCCTACAGCCCGTTCTCCTGAATTAGGGTTTGGGGGTGAGGGGTATGGGGGTGAAGCCACTGTGTGCCGTTCCCTGCTCCTCCTCCTCCTCCGTCTCCCTGTGTTGCAGCTGCCGCTGAGGGGGGGTGGACTTGTTGGAGCCGTTGGAGTGGTACTAAGGGGGGGTGAAGGGGGAGTGGAGCTAGCGGTGTAGCAGCGGGTGTGTGTCAGGGGGAGTGGGATAGTTTGGGGAGGTTGAAGGGGGTGGCCGCCGTGAAGCCAGCAGCTCCAGTCGCCCGTGAGACCGTTGCGCCAGTCGCCCGTGAGCCCGTTGCGCCAGTCGCCCGTGAGCCCGTTGCTCCAGTCGCCCGTGAGTCCGTTGCTCGTCTGCCGCTACTTTTAGCCGCGGAGCCAGTTACTCCAGTAGCCCGTGTGCCAGTTGCTCCAGTTGCCAGTGTGCCAGTTGCTCCAGTTGCCCGTGTGCCAGTTGCTCCAGTTGCGCCGTGTGCCAGCAGCTTCAGCTGCCGCCCACTACCTCCTCTCCTCTCATAGTCTCTTTCCTCCTCCTCACTTGCCCGTTGTGACTACCACTAGCTTTGCTCATAATTGTGAACTTTAAACTATTGCTTCTTGAACTTGTGCTCAGAATGTGTGGTGACATTGTGATCCACCCTGAGCTTGTACTGCTTTGCTTGCTCTGCTGATTACACCCCACTTTGGCTATGGGGGTGTGTCAAAATATTATGCTCTAGCCTGTAGTGGGGTGCTCTATAGCGAGTACAACCCTTCTAGGGTTTGCTATTTGTATCCTCATTCTTGCTAGTGCAACCCTCCTCTTCTTCCTTTTAAACGTTCACAGTACGGTTACGAAAGCATCTGGACCGTCGGGCAGACAGCAGCAGGCAGCAGCAGTGGCGAGGATTCTGCCCGAACAGTTTTCGTAACCACCTGGAGTCGCACGGTTGAGTTTCGCTATAATAAGGGAATGTACCCCTTAGAGTACATGGCTAGCTAGGTCGATTGGTATTCCCCTGTACTCTTATTTATAGTGCTGTATTTGCATGTTTTCATCATCTCAAGCATTTACATTCACTCTGCTATTGAGATCAAGGGCCCATCACCACTAAATCAGTAGTGTGCGAACCTTCCTGAGGTGATCCTGGCTACGATCAACTTCTGATCGCAACATTACGAATAGTGAATTGTGAAACACTATGCAATCCTAACATTAGTAAGCGAGGGACACTATGAAGAGTATAAAGGCGAAAAGCCGGGATGACGCGAAGAGTCGCGAACGGTTAGGCAACATATAGACCGTAGGAGCGGATGCATCGGGCAGTTGCAGTGGCGAGGATAGTGCGGGGAACACGTTCGTAACCGTCCAGAGTCGCACGGTTGCTTTTCGTTGCAATAAGGGAATGTATCCATTAGAGCACATGGACAGCCTAGGTTGTTTCGCATTCCTTTGTATTATCAAATAAACCGATGTATGCATATGCTTTAATAATCCCAGTCATTTTACATTCACTCTGACCTTAGGTCAATTCGTCCGCTGCAACACACTCTCTGCGAACCTTCCTCCTGAGGTGATTCTTGGCACGATCAACTCTCTGATTGGTGAAACAAATTGGCAAATTCTACCCCCATGTTTTCACCATCCGTAGATAATAGAAATACCCTGTTACCCATAGCCATGGAAATCTGGGTCTACGCAAGTCCAACGATGATTACGTCCAAGCGCGTATGAGCCAGACCTTCGGGGGCCACTCCGCGAATCACACAATCCCTAGCGCCGCCGCTTCTGTCGCAAGGCCTCGTCAACTGTCACGGTGTCACCCCATACCAGTCGCATCCAACCCTTCACCTCTCCCCTCGCTGCGCGGTTTTCCAGTCAGAGAGAAGCGTCGCCAGACGTCGTGTCGTACCCCAATTGCCTCTCACCCCAGGAAAACCGTAATCCGTACCTCTGAATCCTTCCGAACCAAGAGTGCCGAACCACCCCACCAAACCGCCAAACTCGGCGTAGAGATTCGCACGTCGCCGTCACCATTCACCAGAGCTGTTGGTTTGTCACACAGTCAATTCTTTGGAAGTGGGCACTTGCAACGCTGCACCATGACCTCAAGATTTGGTTAGGGTTTGCCCCGCAAGTTCATTTTCAGGTGACATACCACTGTTTTGTCTCGTTTGTGGCGTACCGCGTTTAACCGTGTGAAAACATACTCCAGCGCAGTGAACCAGCTGAGATACTACTGGTTTGCTGCCTCTTGTTCCTCGCAAAGCGTGACTTGAAAACAATTCGTACAAAACACACACAGTCTGCCGTGAAATCGCCACCCACTCACACAATCATCACGACGAATCACCACCGCCGCACAGTATTTGAGCTTGCCAGCATGGCTGCCTCTCCACCACAGCCCACACCGCAACGCGTCGGCTCGGCTGGCGCGACCCGAACCGAGTCCTTCCTGACCAAGTCACCCGACAGATACGTGTACACAGTCTAGCATACCATGGTCTAAACCGGTCTGTACCCTCCTTTCCCCAGTTCCCAAGGTCCAGCGTATCCCAAACCTCCCATCCCAAACCTCCCATCCCAAACCAAACCACTGTTTTCCTTCGCTTCTCAACCAACTTCTTCCAAATCCCCATGGCCTCCCACCCATCCCCAACCTCGTGCTTGTCCCCCAAGCTCCCAAGTTCCCAACCTGCACCTTCCGTGTTTCTCTCCGATTTTCCCTCCGTGATCTGCCTGCTGCCGCACTCGCTGCACCCACCCAGATCGAACCTCCTGCCTCCCCCCACCCTCCGATTCGTCTTCCTCCCGCAACTATCGCCAGCTGAAGCCCATATGCCCATGCTACGCGTGTTTCTGCCATATCTACTACCTGTTGCCGATCGTGATGGAAAGAGCCAGAGGAGAATCTAGTGCTGGTCATGTGTTGGTCATGTCACAAGAAAAACTAGCACGTTGATTCTTTCCTCCTAAACCGTCACGGACATTAGTTAGCAGAATCTCTTTCCAATGGCCGCTTTCTTCAAGCCGTTATCTCCTAGTCCCCTCTGAGAGTTCTACAAGAAGTGACTCCAATAGCACCGCCGCCGTCTCGTAGTTCTTCCGCCGTCTCGAATATCCCCTCTTCGCGTAGTTATTATTGAGTTGTAACAGTGACGTGGTGCATCGAGCTTTCCAGTTCCTCGCTGGAGCGTTTATCCTGTAGGCTACAGCCTTAGTTACCAGTTAGGTACTCCAGTTACGTACTCCAGTGTCTTCATCTACCGCAGCAGCACTCGTGTGCTATCGCCTTTCGCGTCCGTGCCTTCAAAGGAGCTCAAGCGAGCGGGGGGTTTTTGTGCCAGTCGAGCGTTGAAACGTCGCGAAGCTTCGTGGAAGGGGTTTATTGTTCTCTCGCGGCAGCGGTAGGACTCGCCGCCAATGGCGCTGGTTCAGAAACCCGTTTCGGATCACTCCGAAGACGAGGACAGCGCGTCGAACTGTTCGCTGGAGCTCGACAGTCGCACGGGTGGTAACCCGTCGCACGCGGATACGGCGACGTCGTCAGCTTCGTCATCATCGTCGTCGGAGGAAAACCTCATTTCGCTGCTGCCGGACGACTGCCTGGCCGCCGTGTTTCGGCAGCTGAACGCGGCGGACTTGGCAGCGTGCTCGCTCGTGTGTCGCAGATGGATGAGGTGAGGCACGCTTGTAGTCTCAGTCTCGCGCGACCGAGTTCCCGCCACGTCTGGTCTCATTTGACCAGCTCCCATCACGTCTGGTCTCACGTTAAGGTGGCCTGTGAGACGACATACAAGTCAAGCGCGTGTGGCGGATGGATGAGGTGAGACTGTCGTGCGGAACTCAGTCCGGGCTCTAGTATCCGCCGAACCTACTTCCGAACCTATTTCCGTACATACTCCCGAACCTATTTCCGTACCTGCCCCGTACTTGCTTCCAAACTGCAGCACGGACTCGGAGTCTCGGCCGAACCTGTCGTTGCGGGCGGCGACAGAGCTGACGCAGCAGCTCCCGCGGCTGCTGGAGCGGTTCTGTGCGGTGCAGAAGCTCGTGCTGAAGTGCGACCGCAACGTGCAGAGCGTAGACGACGCGGCGCTCACGCTCGTGGCGGAGCAGTGCCTGCTGCTGCGGAAGCTCAAGCTGAAGAACTGCAAGCAGGTTGGTCACCTGGCAAGCACGTGCTTGTAACGGTCGTGCACGTGCTTGCGCTAGTCACGAAGCAGTGGCGGCTGGGCAAGGGTGCGGCGGGGCAAGGGTGCGGCGGGGCAAGGGGGCGGTGGGGCTAGGGTGCGGCGGGGTAAGGGGGCGGTGGGGCAAGGGGGCGGTGGGGCAAGGGAGCGGCGGGGCAGGGGCGCGGTGGGGCATGGCGCGGTGGGGCATGGTGCAGCGGGGCAAGGGTGCGGAGGGCTTTTTATTGGGGCGAAACGTTTCGTCCGCTTTCTGCTCTCGCGCTTTCCCCGCCTTCCCCGTGTCCCCGCCTCCCCGTCGTCGCCGCTTCTCCCGCTTGTTCCGTTCAATCAGCTGTTATTTTTACCCACCGTCCGCGGCCGTGACGGCCGAGGGCTCGACCAGGCGTGTCCTTATGTCTTTCCGCCTGTCGTCTCCCGGTCTCTTCTCCCTCCCCTCCCCCCTCCCCCTCCTTCTCCTACCCCCTCCCCGCCCTGCCCCGCCTGTCACCGACGAGGGCATGCAGCGCTTCACCTGCGCGTTCCCCCATTTCCCTAAGTTCCAGTCTGTTATAAATGCTAGCAGATCTTGGGACATCTTCCAGTGAGCAGCGGTTAGGTTTAGGCTAGAGCAAGTAGGAGAATGCAAGTTCCAGTCTGTTCTAAATGCTCTCCCCTTCTGTCTTTCCCCCTATCGACTCCCCATTCCCCTCCACCCTCCTGTCCCCCCGTCCGCTCCCGCCCCCCCTCGCCCCTCCTCTCTCCCGTCCCCGCCCCTACCATCTCCCCTCCCCCCCGCGCAGGTGACGGACGAGGGAATGGAGCGCTTCACCCGCGCGTGCCCGCATCTGCGCAAGTTCTCGGTGGGCGGCTGCGGGTTCGGCACGCGCGGACTCAACGCGCTGCTGGGCGGCTGCCCCCTGCTGGAGGACCTCACGGTCAAGCGAAGGTACGCGCGAAGTGTGTAACCGAGATGCTGCGATATGTCGCCACGCCGTGTGGCGATATGTCGCCACGCGATGTGGCGATATTCGCCACGCGCGGGTCAAACCGCTGCCGGGCACTGCCCGCTGATGGAAAACCTCATAACTGCTGCCGTAGTTTCTCTCCTCTTGGCTCCCCGCCCCCTCATTATCTCCCCGTCCTTAGGCTCTCCGGCACCCAACCACTGATGCCCCGTCTCCCCGGTCCCCCGCTCCCCCATTCCCTCGTTCCCCCGTTCCTTCATCCCGTCGTTACTTCCGCCCTGTTTCCGCGCGTTGCATGAAGTCCCCCGCCACTTCTTCTCATCTGTGGGCCATCTCCATCCTCACGTTTCTTCCCCACTCCTCTCCCCCCTTTTCCCCCGCCCTGTTGCCCCTTTTCTCTGCGCAGCATGAAGCCCCCCGCGGATCGCGCGCTCGAGCCGCTCACCCCGTCGAACCTGAAACTCCGCCGGCTCTGCCTCAAGGACCAATCAAATTCGACCATCTGGACTCCCCTGCTCGAGGCGTGCGGCAATCTCGAGACGCTCATTCTCGCGCGCAACGGCGGGTACTGGGACCGCGTGCTAGAATCTTCTCTCGGGCAGAAACGCCTGCCCGAACTCTCGCAGGTCTACCTGGAAAAGCTGCAGCTGACGGACCGCGGTCTGCAGGCCGTGGCGCGCTGCCCGAAGCTCGAAGCGCTCGTAGTGGTCCGCACACCGGATTGCACGGACGCGGGAATGGCGGCGATCGCGGCGGGATGCACGGGGCTACGGCGGCTGCACATCGAGGGGTGGGCTCCCGGGCACATAGGCGACACGGGTTTAGGCGCCATTGCGCGCTGCTGCCGCGACTTGCAGGAGCTGGTGCTCGTAGCGCACTCGTGCACCGCGGCTAGTCTTAAACCGCTCGCGACTAATTGCCGCGGGCTGGAGCGATTAACTCTCTGCTCGTCCTCCGCAATGGGGGATTTAGAAATGGCGTGTTTGGCTTACGGCTGTCCGTCGCTCAGGCGACTGTGCGTGAAGGGGTGCAGTCGGGTTACCGATCTCGGGATTATCGCGCTCGCGAACGGGTGTCCTTCGCTCCAGAGGCTCAAGGTTCGCCGGTGTTCGAACGTTACACCGTCGTCGCTGGATTTCCTGCAGAAGCAGCGCCCGGCGCTCTCGATCACGCAGGAGCGCACGCGATCCGCTTCGTCGTCGTCTCACGCGCACGCGCATGCGCATAGGGAGCACGGGGCTGGCGGAGGGGCCGGGGGAGGCGCGCGCGGAGCCGCCGGCGGGGCCGGGGGAGGCGCGGGCGGAGTGGTGATTGCGGAACCGGTTGACGGGATGATGCTGGGCGGCGGGCGGCGCAGGGGGGCTGGCGCGGGGGGGGAGCATGGCGGAGGGCGCAGGGGCGAGGGCGCGGCAGCGGCGGAGCAGCTGGGCGGCGGGCGCTTAGTGCGCGACTTCCCCGGGCTTCATGCGTTGGGGCGTGCGGGCGCAATTGGCGCGGGCGGGGGAGCAGGCGGAGTTGGGGGAGGCGCGGACGAGGAGTTGACCGCAACTGCCGTGGGGATGCGGTTTCTGGGGGCGATGGGGGGCGGGGGAGGCGGAGGAGGCGGAGGAGGCGGGGGGGGCGGGGGACTGGACGGCGGTCATGCGCAGGGGGGTGGCGCAGGTGGTGCAGGGGGAGGAGGATGGGGGGTGGATAGCATGAGCAGGAGCGGCGGCGCGCGCACACGCCTCGCGATGATGGCAACATCCCTGCGCAGGCTGATCAGCGGAGGCGGCGGCGGAGGGGGAGGGGGAGGGGGAGGGGGAGGGGGAGGGGGAGGGGGAGGGGGAGGGGGAGGGGGAGGGGGAGGCGGAGGCGGTGGAGTAACAGGCGGGGATATGGGCGCGGGAGGGGGTACTGGCAACGGAAGCAACCAGGCAATTACCAACAGTATGAGTGCAGGTGCTACCCTGGGTGGGTATTACTTAAACGAAGGTGATAATAACGAAGGAGGGGTGCTTGCAACAGGAGGAGGTCTGCTCACTTCGAGCCTCTCCTTCCGCCATAGCTTAGCAGGCGGAAGCAATAGGAGCGTCGGTACTAGCGCCAGTGGCGGTGCAGGGGGGAGTGGCAGCAGCAGCAGCAGGAGTGCCGCTGGGAGTAGCATCTCGACCGTTGGATCTGGTAGCGTCTCGGCCGTCGGATCTGGTAGCATCTCTGGCGTAGAATCTGGTAGCATCTCGGCCGTTGGATCTGGTGGTACTTCTGGTACTGGGCATGTGGGTATTAGTGGTGGTAATTTAAGCCTTGGCGGCAGCAGGAGCGCCAGGAGCCTAAGGGGCAGCAGTAGTACGGAGGAGCAAGCAGGGCCTAGCATCAGCGCTAGTAACGGTGGTAGCAGTGGTAACCACCGCTCGTTTTCGTTCAATCTCCCGTCGCTGGCCATCAGCGGCAGTGGCAATAGCAGTAGCAGCAGCGGCGGCGGCAGCAGCAGCAGCGCCAGCGGCCTTGCGCGAGGGGCTGGATGCCCCTCGTTAGTGTCACCGCGTGTGTTGTCACAGTCAGGGGGTGGGTTGCCTCTGGCGTCCCCTTCCCTCTCTCTCTCCTCCTCACTCTCCCTCTTCTCCCACCCACGGCGCCCCTCCCCTCGTTCCTCCTCCCCCTCTTCGTCCGCTGCTGCTGCTCGCAGCAGCAGCAGGAGTAATAACAGCAACAGCAGCTATAGTGAACGAAGGGGGGGCAGTGGCAGTGGCAGCAGCAGTGGTGGCAGTGACGGTGGTGCTGCCGTTGGTAATGGGAGCAATGGGCATGCTGGGACAAGGACAGCAACAGCAGCAGGGGCAGCCGCAGCAGCAGGAGGAGCAAGTCAGTCGTCGCTGCGACAGCCCCTGCAGTATCCCATATGGCGGGAGGCACAGCAGCCACACGCAGCAACACCTGCAGCAGGTCCCCCTTCTGCAGGCACTGCTACAGCTGCTGCTACAGCTGCTGCTACAGCTGCTGCTACAGCTGCTGCTACAGCCGCTGCTACTACTGGTTTGGCTGCTGGCGGTGCTACCAGCACCACTGCAGGTGCTGGGAGTGATAGTAGCCGTACGTCTCAGTAGCAGTAGCATCAGCACTAAGAGAAGGAACAGCAGGAGCAGTGGAGGGGGATGGTGGCTAAAGTGTGAAGGGCTGCTGCAAGGGCAAGGCAGGCAAGATGGTGCGGGATAGCTTAGAGGAGAGCTGGAGGTTGCAGGATGCTCATCCTCTCTCTCTCTCTCTCTCTCTCTCTCTCTCTCTCTCTCTCTCTCTCTCTCTCTCTCTCTCTCTCTCGCCCACTCTCTCTCCTCTTTCGTTACTATCATTCGTCCCTGGAAACTCGTTTTTGCTCACATTTCTCTCATGACTTCCTTATCTATCTTCTCATCCATCCTCTCTCGTCCCTCCACTCACTCCCATCCTCCCTCTCCTGCGCCTTGTCTTTAATAACTCCCCTAAGGAGGTGGTTCTTTTCATGCAAAGCTTTCTCAGTGGTCGGTGGGGGGGTGTAACAGCTGAACCCCCCACCAGGTGTAGTAGGCTCACTCAGAGTGTCCTGTAAGACAAGACAAGCTGCAGGGCATGGGTGGAGCCAGATAGTGAAAGGGAGGGGAAGCAGGCAGAGCAGAGGAGGGAAGTGGGACTCCAAGGCTGGATGGACAGTGTGCTGTGTAGGCAGTTCGGGGGTTGTTTTTTTGTGGGGAGCAGTTGGTTGGTTCAAGGGAAAAGGGTGGACACGGGGGGTGAAAGATGTGCGTCTTGGGGCGTGTTTCGGCTCAAGGCTTGGGTGTCTTCTTGTTTGCTAGAATTGGTTCTTAAAATATTAAATATGCTTGTTGCTGATTCAAGACCTTATCTCATGGAATTCAGTAACATGCCTTTGAACAACAGTACTTGATTATGCTGGATTGCAGAGAGACTAGCACACTCTACTGAAGAAACAACAATTGATACTGCATCAGACTTCCATAACAACAAAGGACATGAAGTGTAATGCCAAGGTTTCGCGACAACTATCCGAGCATAATAAACAGCACTAAAGTTGATGCGATCACACCGAGTGTAGTTACCGAAGCCTGCTTACTTCCTGTCTTGTCGTCCAAATAGTCGAAGTCATATGGCTCGATATAGTCACCGTACTCATAGTCTTCATAGTAGCTAACTGGATACACGAGCGGCCTGAAGCCTCTTAAAGAGGACTTGGGCCGACGACCTGAAGTCGTGCGGCGAAAATAAATGGTCGTTGAGATGCTGGTGCCGCGACCCCTTTCCCCGCGACTGCTACTGCTGCTGCTACTACCGCCGCTGCTCCTGCTGCTGCTCCGGCTGCTGCTTCTGCTGCTGCTGCCCCTGCTGCTTCCGCCCCTGCTGCTGCCTCCGCGACCCCCGCCATGACCACTCCCGCCCCCGCCGGCTCCACCGCTCCCGCCTTTCATGACTCTTCTGCTATGAGCACTGCTGCTGTTTGCGATTCCTTCTATAGCGAGTATGGCATGTGGTTCAGGTTGTGGGTGGGTGTTCGTGTTGTCCGAAATAAGCAGATTTTGAGAAACGGCTGGTGTATCTGGCGCGTGCTGGTTCCGTGCGCTATACGCGGTATTAGGGAGTGCAGTAGTGGCGAGAAGAAGCTGGGACAGTAGCAGGAGGAGTGCAGATGCTGAAAGCGCGTCCCGGAAGGGCGACGAAGCAGCCCAGACCGTAGCCATGAAGAACGAGTCGTATCGATAACCCAGAAAACGAATGTACACGTGTTTTTAGCTCCGCCTGTCAGGAGTTTCGTTGGTGGCTTCACGGTTAAAAAACAGGTTTCAAGCGTCTGAAAACTTGTCTCGTTTCGTATCCGGCGTTATCATGGTGGAAATTTGAAGCTTATTCTTCCGTTTCAGTGATTCTCGCGGCACGCCCTAGGTTCCGCGAGAATCAGAGGCAGGAAAGAAGTGCAGAGCGCGACGGCGATCTCCGAGAGAGGCAAAATGGCGGAATGAAGTAGAGCAAACTTGGAAAAAAACGCTACGAAACTGATATGCTAGGAAAGCAAGGGCTTGGTCGAGAGCTGTTCGAGTGAGCTCGGGTCGGAAAGGAAGTGTATGCACAGGTTGGAAATGCATTCGCGGTATTTGTGCTGCAGCACGTGCGCTGCGCCTCCCACAAAGCATTGGGGGGAAGATCAGGAGAAGGGCTGGTGGAAAAAAAGGGCGGGCGCGAATAAAGGAGGGAAAGGGGGAAGAGGAGGTTCCGGCTGGAGGAAGCCGCGGAGTGGGGAGGAAGCAGGGGGGATGGCGTGCAACGCAGGGAATGCCGTCAGCTCCTGGCGTGCGCTCCGCGTGGTGTGGCGATAGCGAAGAAAGATGGGGGGGGTGCTCCAAGATGAGAAGGCCCGGGTGCGAGTTTCCAAATTCGATGTCTCTGTTGTGTTTGTGATGTACAGATGTAACTTCGTTTCGTTATTGTTGCGAACATTATTACGACGAAAATCCAAGTTGTTCTTGAAACATTTACGATGTGTTTCAACAAGACTCAAGAGTACTTTATTCTGGCCCCAATTTTGCATGAAGCGAAAGGCTTCGAGATCCTTTGAATTAGGGTAACTCGACCCCGCTACTCATCTGATACGATGTTCCAAATTGGGTCGAATACGGCTTTCAGAACAGAGCTCGAGACACTCAATTTGCCAGACGAAGCTCGTGCAGTGAGGTTACGTGCTGAACGAGACAAAAAGCCCCAGGTTGACGAATGCACGAAGATTTCAGTTATCGTTTTCGTCACTCGCGTCTGTTTCTCTCGCTTGTATGCACGCAGTCCGAACACAACACTGTAGTTGTAACTATAGCCACGATCTAGCTCGGCGATCGAATTTGCGAAAAGAATGCGAGGAGCGCAATGTGGATGGAGCGTATTTTGATAAGCATTTGTGTTTCGTAAACGTTTTGCGCATGCACGCACTTCCCCTTCCCCTATCTTCCCCGCATGGCTCCGCCAGTCGCCGCGCAGGCCGCGGGTGCCTTCCAGCGCAGGTGCATGCCTCCCCTCACGCCCTCTTCCCCTCCGCATCCAGCGCTCTCCTCGTTCTCTCCGCTTTTTACGCCGCGCCTCGGTGAATCGTTGTCGGAATATGCGTGTCGGGCGGAATCCCCTTTAAATTCGTCAGCGAAACAAAGGCGTGTTCAGTGTAGAAACTCGGAACTCGCGAAATCCGCGCGACACGACGACGCCACGTGGCAGGTTACCGGTGGGCAGATCAACGGCGGGGGGAGATCCGTACGGGAGCGGCGGAACCGGCGTGAGCTTCGCATCAACGATCGAATGCAGCAGTGTCAGTGCCCGCTCAACGACGAAGCTTCCTCTGCTGGTTCCTCTTCCGACGCGACTCGCGATCAACCCGCGTCTGCCCGCATTTCCTCATCTGCCTCATTTCATGACCTCCCCGCTTCCTCCTCTTCCGCCTCCTCCTCTTCCGCCTCCTTCCTTTCTTCCCCTTCGTCCCTCCCCCCAACCACTCTTCCCCACATTGCCTCATCCCCCTCTTCCGACCACCTGCTTGCTTCCTCCGCTTCTCCCCCCGCCACTGCTCCCCTCTCCTCCTCTCCCCCCTCCGCTTCCCCATCCGCCCCCGCTCCCGCGCCCGTTATCCTCCCCCTGCTCTCCGCATCTCCGCCCCCGCCCTCCTCCCCCGCGCCCTCCACTCTCCCCTCTGCGCCGCTCCCCTTAGGCCCAGGTAGGCGGATAAGGGTAAAAGGTGGAAGCTTTGTAAAGAACTTGAGGGTAAGACAGAACATTGACAAAGGTCTAGGGGAAAATTATGGGGTTGTGGGGGAGAGAGAGTGGGTGCAAGGGGGAGGAATGTGAGGTAGGGGAGGGGACCTGCCCTGGGCTGGGCATGTGAGGGACCTGGATTTTTTTGTTTGTTTGTTTGTTTTTTTCCTGCCCACCCTTTTTTCTAATCTCGATCCATTGAGCTGTATTTTATTCCTGGCCGTTGATGGCTCTGTTGATTCTCCGTTACTCCCCTCCTCTCTCCCCATCAGCCCCTCGCCTCTCTCATTCACTACCTGTTGACTGGCCTTGACTGGCGTTGACTGGTTGGCTGGCAGGGCACTTTGAGTATCTGCCGCTGAAGGCTCCTTTCCGCATGGCCATGGGGGTGCAACCTATGGCGATGGATGACTGGATACAGGTGCGTTGACCCGCGTTGACTGGAGTTGACTGGATACAGTGCATGTGCGTTGACTCGCGTTGACTGGTGTTGACCGGATACAGGTGCGTTTTCCCGCGTTGACTGGAGTTGACCGGATACAGGTGTGTTGACCCGCGTTGACTGGAGTTGACTGGATACAGTACAGGTGCGTTGACCAGCATTGAACCGAATGGACTGCTGTCTGTTCCTCAATCGGCATGAGATGGCTGCGCGGAAGGCCATTCTCGCACATACTCTCATCCCTTTCTCCCTCGTTTTTCCCTCTCGGCTTCCCCATTTCCCTGCTGGGTTTTTCTCTTCTTCAGATCGACCCCTTCTACCGGCAGGAGATGGCTTTAAGAAAAGGCATTCTAGCGAATCACCGGAGCACAGTCATTGGCAGGATTGGGGGGGAGAGGGGTAGGGGGGAGTGTGTGGGGAGCAGGGGGAGAGATGAAGGAGAGTGTGAGGGGGGGAGAGTGAGGGAGGGAGGTGGGGAGTGGGAGGGAGAGGGAGTGAGGGAGAGAGTGAGGGAGGCGGAGTGGGAGTTACTACACATGCTGGCGGATTTTCTGCCTTCCCGATTCCCACACATGTATGTGTGGTAGGACCCTAGAATAGTTCTGATTCCTGTTTTTTTTTTCCATGATCCCCATTCCCACACATGTATGTGGTGAGTCGTCCCTAGGATAGGTGTTACTCTCGTGTGGTGACTCTCAAGTCGGCTCAAAGGGTGACTTTTGAGTCGACTGAAAAGCCTTTCCGATTCCCACACATGTATGTGGTGAGTCGTCCCTAGGATAGGTGCAACTCTCTGACTTCCCTCCCCTTCCCCTCCTTCCACTTCCCCAGCCTCTCCCATGGCATGGCCCAGCCTCTCCCTCTCACAACAGCACCTGCACAACCATGGCACGGGTCATGATTCACTCGACCTCCCTAATTACTGACACCACCCCGCCATTCCTTTGCACCTCCCTTCCCCTCTTCCCATTCCCACCTTTCCTCTCCCCCAGCTTCTCTCTCTCACACCATCATCTGCACAACCATGCCACGGGCGATTCATTTGACCTGTCAGATTCATCACAAGACCCTCTAGAGATCATTGCACAACTCATACAGGTGATGATGGTTTGGTGCCTTTGATATAGAGTGAATTCGATAGTGACTATATTTATCACGAAATCCTCTCTAGAGGTCATCGCCGGTGCCTGTCGGATTCATCACAGGACGACCCTCTAAAGGTCATTGCGCAACTTATGAAGGTGATGATGGGTTGGTGGCTGGCTTGGCAGTGAGTACATTCGATAGTGAGTGAATTCGATATTGAGTGAGTGCCTCTGTTGTCGGATTCATCGCAGGACCCTTTTTGTTCCCGGTGTCCTTATGAATGCGCATTCATTATCGAATTCACTCAATGCCGAGCCCCGTGTCCTTTGCTCTCCATGTCCTTGTTAATCTGCTCATTCTTGCAGGAGGATGTGTGCCTCATGCTCCCTCGCCCTTCCTCTGGCTTATCTCACTCTCATACTTCCTTCTCGTTTGTTGTTGTCTCTTTCTTCCCCTTCTCATCTTTCATCTGCTCATTCTTGCAGGAGGATGTGTGCCTCATGCTCCCTCGCCCTTCCTCCTCCTCCCCTTCCTCCCATTCCTCCTCCTCCCCCACTTCCTCTTCCTCTCCCTCCACCTCTTCCTCTTCCTCCACTCCTCCCCTCTGCCTAGTCTCCGGTGCTGTTCTCTTCCCAAACGGCTGGATTCTGCCCGAAAAACTCGGGCTGCCCACAGCTCACATTCACACGCCTGTGCCTCTATACGAGTCGACAATTTCTAGGGCAGTTGACAAATTTCTGAACAACCTGGAGCCGGGAAGCCCGTTTGCTCGCTCCAATTGGACGATAACCGACGACCCGCGGCTGTTCCGGCCGATTTCAGAGGTTCGTTGTGTTACTGAACAGAACACACACTCATGAGTTGGTTTTTCTCCATTCACAACTGTGTTCAGCAGTGTGTTTTATGTTTCTTTGTGTCCAGTGAAGCAAAGGTTCTCCACTGAAAACTATGTGTGGCAGTCCGTCTTGTTAGGGTAACTGAGTGCTACATTACTCTTCACTGCCGCTGAGTGCACGTTTTCCTCCTTGTTTTGGTGCCATTGCTGCCACTGCTGCCCCTGCTTACCCCCACTTGCCTCCACATGCTGCCACTGGTGTGGGTGGGTGCTACAGGCGTCTTATGCCTCGATGGTGCAGGCCAAAGCAGGGCTGTCAGAACAGAGGCTTCAAAAAGAGCAGCAGCAGCAGCAGCAGCAGCAGCAAGAAGGGGAAAAGGGTGAGGAAAAAGAGGAAGGGATGGGGGAGGCAGGGGTTTAGGGTACTCAATCACTCAGCACTCACTCTTGGTACCAACCATATGGGGGAAGGAGTGATATGGTTGGTGCCTCACACTTGCTCCTCCTCTCCCCTCCCCTCCCCATCCCGCCTCCTGCTCCTCCCTCCCCCTTCCCCTGTCTCCCTCTCCCCTCCCCCCTTTCCCCGCCCTCCCCCCTGCCCCTCACCACGTGGGCAGTACTGATCACCCTTCCCCACCCTTCCCCACCCTTCCCCCTGCCTTTCACACATATAAACATATTCCTCTTCCATGCCCCCACCTTCACTCCGTTCCCCACCCCATCCCCCCCACCTCCTTCCCCCTTCTCCTCCCCCCGCACTTGCTCCAGGACGGGGGCGGTACTGTTCACCGTCTGCACGCACATGAAACCACTTCTTCCGCCCCAAACCATTGCTCATCCATGTCCACTAACTCTTCCCTTGACCCTCCCACTGAGTCGACTCAAAAACTGACTTAGCACGCACATGAAACCACTACTCCCGCCCCAATCCATTGCTGATCCATGCCCACTTAACTCTTCCCTTGACCCTCCCACTCCCCCCCTCTCCCCTCGCTCCTTCCCTTCCCCTCTTCTTCTCCCTTCCACCCGTCCTACAGGACCGGGGCGGTACTGTTCACCATCCGCACACACATGAAGCCGCTGCGCGTGTTCTCCGGGCGGTGCCAGCTGGCTGCTGACGTGGCACGGGCCATGGATGCACTGCCAGGCGAGATTCGGCGGTACAAGATGATTGGAGGGCGGCTTGCTGACGTGGCACGGGAGTATCTGATCCGATGCTCGGAAGGGCTTGCGTAGCGAGTTAGATTTCAGTTCAGGTGTCCCAACATAAATATTATAATTTTTAAACACATTCGTGTTTTTCAAAATTGTGTATTGTGAAAGCGAAGCTGCCTGTACCGAATATTTGGCAGCGTCGAAGCGCGCTAAACGCCCTTCTCCAACTACAAAAACCGTGGGTTGGAGTTCATTTCCCTCCACCCGCGTTTCTCTATTTTCAACGGCTCTATCAACATTCCCACCACCCACCCCAGTACCATCTAACGTACCACAGTCACTTGGACGGATGGCTCCATGGCTAGTATAGTTAATTATGTACTAGCATGTGTTTAAGAACGATGCATATGTTGTAATAAGCCAGTTGCAATGAGAACGATGCCAAATTACAAGGAACAGAAAGCAAGCTTTCTCAATGGCTAGTATGGGTACCTTTGATTGTACATAGTTCATTTGTGTCCAAGTCCCATGTGGCCTATGGTGGTGTTTCTCCACTTATTGTGAGACATCTAAACCTGATTCACACAGAAAGAATCCCAACTAAAAGAGGTTGGAAGACGGGTGGGTGACCACATATCCTCCGGACACAAGAAATGTGTTCCACACACCTACAGCACATAAATCAGCTAAGCTACGGTACGGGGTATATTCTCAATCAAGCAAGCCAAAGGAACGCACGATTCCGACAGCTTTTTCATTGAAATGTGGGGGGGTGTCTTCAGCAGCGGTCGGAGGATGGGTTTCCGACTGCTTCCATCATGGGGCGATACTTGTCCTGATGGGGATTCATACGCGCACGTACAACACATACACACATGCAGACAGGCACACAAAAGGGAGGGAGGGGTGTTTTGCATGATGGGTCGGTACAGCTGCTTCAACAGCGTTCGCTGGATGGGTTGCTGACTGCTCCCATCATGTGTCAGCTCGTGTCCCGATGTGCATGCATACATGCAGTGGGGTTACACACATATGCGCATACATACACAGCACACAGAAAGGAGGAGGGTGTTAAGCAATCCTGGGGTGCTTCAACAGCGGTCGCTGGATGGGTTGCTGATTGCTTGTGTCAGCTCGTGTCCCGATGTGCATGCATACATGCATGCAGTGAGGGTACACACGTAGTCATGTGTGTGTGATGGGCATCCATGCCTGCACACATGCAGACATGCAGACCCACACATATATGCAGACACGCACACATATATGCAGACATGCACACACATATGCAGACACACACACACATATGCAGACACACACACACATACGCAGACACGCACATATATGCAGACACGCACACATATATGCAGACATGCACACACATATGCAGACACACACACACATATGCAGACACACACACACATACGCAGACACGCACACACATATGCAGATATATGTGTCTATACGGTAGATACAATGTAAGACATGCACCCACCAGCATCTGAGTGTACTTGTCTCGCGCATATTCTGTGAGCTCCAAGTCGAGAGCATTCAGCACCATCTAACCATCCATGCGTATCAGACAGATGAGGGAATGAGAGTAACAAACCCACCAGCATCTGAGTGTACTTGTCTCGCGCATATTCAGTGAGCTCCAAGTCGAGAGCGTTGAGCTCCTTGATGCGCCTCATCACGTCCTCTGGTATGCGCGCGCGCTCCTGGTGTGGTATGGGAAGAGAGGAAAAGAGACGTTGAGCTCCTGTTAATACTGGTGGCAGTGACGGTGATGGTGACATTGTGGCAGTTTGAAGGGTGTGGTAAAGAGAGGGAGTGGGATGGAGTGAGCTCCAGGTCAAGAGCATTCAGCTCCTTGATGCGCCTCATCACGTCCTCTAATATGCGTGCCCGCTCCTGGGGTGGGATGGCAGGAGAGGGAGAGAGACGGAGAGTCGGAGTGAAATGAAGTAAGCTTCCTTCCTTGATGCGCCTCATCACGTCCTGATGGTGATGGTGATGGCGATGGACGAGGGTTGTGAGAATGGCGGGGAGGGAGAGCATAGATAGAGAGAGGGAGGCATGGTTGAGAGGGAGTATTCAGCTCCTTGATGCGCCTCATCACGTCCTCTGGTATGCGCGCTCGTTCCTGGTGTGGTATGGGAAGAGAGGGGGAGGGATGAAATGTGATAGGGGATGGTGTGATGGTAATGGTGGCAGTGAGATAGAGAGGGAAGGGAGAAAAGAGAGGTAGCGAGTGATAGTTGGATGGGATGGGAAAAGAAAAGGAGGAAAGAGATTTGGATGGCACTGGCAGTGAGCTACAGTTGTGCCTTGTACCTCCCTCTCTCGGCATAACATACCTTCCTGGAGAACTTAAGCGGGCCCATGTGGCGGAAGGCAATGAGCTCGTTCAGCTGAGTAAGCTCCATCTGGTCCTTGAGACACTCCGCATACTGCTCCCGGATGCTCTTCCACTGGAGAGAGGGGGGAAGAAGGGGAAACGGGTCAAGGAAGTGAGTCGAGTCAACGATAGCAGGAAGGAACTGAGTTCATTCAGCTGTGTGAGCTCCATCTGGTCCTTGAGGCACTCCGCGTACTGCTCCCTGATGCTCTTCCACTGGAGGGGGGTAGAGAGTGAATGGCGACAAGGAGATCAATGAATGAATGAACGGGGTGCGGAAGGCAATGAGCTCGTTCAACTGAGTGAGCTCCATTGAGGCACTCCCCGTACTGCTCCCTGATGCTCTTCCACTGGAGGGGGAAGGGAGGTCAAGGGAGTCAACGGGGACAATGGTGTCAGTCAGCAAGGAGGAGAGTGGAGGAACAAGCTGTGTGATCTCCATCTGATCCTTGAGACACTCTGCGTAGGATGCTCTTCCACTGGTGGGGGTGAGGGCGAGGGTCAAGGAAGTCAATGGGGACAAAGATGTCAAAGAGGTCAAAGGGGTCAATTGGGTCAACGGGGTCAACGGGGTCAATGGGGCCAGTCAGGTCAGGGAAGAGGTGCAACCACTGGTTTCGTCTCATAACAGGTGTCCATTTGACCCACACCAATAACCCATCCGAATGCCAGACGACGTGATAACAAACTGTTTTCGGGACGTCTCAAAAAATAACCACTGGTTTCGTTTCGTCTCATAACAGGTGTGCATTTGACCACACCGATAACTCATCGGAATGCCAGACTCAAGGAGAGCACTTACCGGCCGCTCGTTCTCCTTGGCCTTCTTCTTGGGCCTCTTGCACCGCCCCCTGGGGTTCTTGCCTGCTCGCATGGGGGGTCATGGGGCATGGGGGCATGGGGGTATGGGGGCATGGGGTATGGGTCATGGGTCAGGGGCATGGGGCATGGGGCATGGGGCATGAAGTAAGTGGGGAAGAAGGCATGTGGTCATGAGGACATGTGGGGATGAGGTCACATGGGCATGTGCAAGGTTAGCAGCTTGCAGGCAGGGAGGGAGGAAAAGAGGGCGGAAGGGAGGAAGACATCAAACATTTATGAGAGGGTGAATGGTGCAGTGAGTGAATTGAAGCATATATGAGCGAGCTTCTGAGATCTCGTCAATGTGTGTCAGTATCGCTGACCGGGGAGGGTGAAGGTTTGGGAGGAGAGGAGAAGGAGCGGCGGTGGACCACAAAAATATTCCTGGCAGGGAGATGACTAAAATCCCAACCCACCAGGGAGGGTGAAGGCCTGGGAGGAGAGGGAGCGGTCGAGCACAGCGAGCAGCAGCTCGATTGACTCCTCCATGCGGTCCGTGAAGCCCAGATGGATCAACGCGTCCACCCGTGCCTGCATGGGAGGAGAGTGTATGGTTGGGTGGGTGCATATGGGGTGGTGGTGGCAAGGGCAGTGGCAAAGGGACAGCCAGCAGCAGCTCGATTGACTCCTCCATGCGGTCCGTGAAGCCCAGATGGATTAGTGCATCGACCCGTGCCTGCATGGGAGAGGAGACGGGTGGGTGCTTATGGGGTGATGGTGAAAAGGGTAGTGGCAGAAGCACAGCGAGCAGCAGCTCGATTGACTCCTCCATGCGGTTGGTGAAACCCAGATGGATCAACGCGTCTACACGCGCCTGCATGGGAGGAGAGTGTATGGTTGGGTGCATATGGGGTGATGGTGAAAAGGGCAGTGGCAAAGGGACAGCCAGCAGCAGCTCGATTGACTCCTCCAAGGGTTAACGCGTCCACTTGCACCTGAGTGGGAGAGGAGGTGGGCAGATGGTCACATGGGGCAGGCAGATGGAAGCTGTTAGCATGGGCGGATGGAGGACAGATGGTTGAATTGAATACAGGTTCAGTGGGCTCGTCCATGTGGTCAGTGAAGCCTTGGTGGATCTGTCAATGCATGGGAGAGCAGATGCCTCATGCTTTCCCCACCCACCAGGGCGAGCATGAGCATCTACCTCCCAGGTCAGGGTGCTGCCGTGCCTCAACCGCCAAGTGCTCATGTCATGCCTGGCTGGCTACCCCTACCCCCGGGGCGGGGCCTAGGCTACCACGCGTGCTTCACCCACCCACCAGGGCGAGCATGAGCATCTCCCCCCCAGGTCAGGGTGCTGCCGTGCCTCAACTGCCAAGTGCTCCCGTCGTGCCTGCCTGGCTACCCCTACCCCCGGGGCCTAGGCTACCCCGCTTGCTTCACCCACCTTGGCGAGCTTCAGCAAAGCAACTTCCCCCCCAGGTTGGGGTGTTGCATTGCAGCAGGCTACACTGCCTCAACGGTCTCGTCGCCTCTAGCTGCTGCCGTAAATGCCACCCATTCCATTCCTGCCCATCCCACCAGTCTGATCTGCCGGCATAGCCTCCCAGGTCCGGGTGTTGCAGCACACTGCCTCAGCCGCGCTGCCTCTAGCTGCAACCCCCATCTCGTTTCTGTCCTAGCACGTCCAATCCCATGTGAACAGAATAACACTCTCCCTCCCCCACCCCACCCACCTTGGCGAGCTTCAGCATCTCTCCCCCCCAGGTCTGGTCGGGGTGCTGCAGCACACACTGCCTGTACTGGAAACTGATCACGGCCCCGTGCCTGCCAGTCTCTCTACCCCAGAGCCCAGGCTACCCGTGCTTTCCCCACTCCCCACCTTGGCGAGCTTCAGCATCTCCCCTCCCAGGTCCGGGTGCTGCAGGACGCACTGCCGCAGCCGCTTCGCCTCTGGCAGCACGCTGTTGTTCGTGATGCCCGCTAGCTGCAGAGGGGAGGGGTTACAGGGGGAAGGGGGATGGGGGAGGGGGGAAGGGGGATGGGGGAGGGGGGAAGGGGAGGGGGAGGGGGGAAAGGGAGGGGGAGGGGGAGGGTCACCTTGTTGCAGCACCCACTGCCTCAGCCGCTTCGCCTCTGGCAGCACGCTGTTGTTCGTGATGCCCGCTAGCTGCAGAGGGGAGGGGTTACAGGGGGAAGGGGGATGGGGGAGGGGGGAAGGGGAGGGGGAGGGGGGAAAGGGAGGGGGAGGGGGAGGGTCACCTTGTTGCAGCACCCACTGCCTTAGCCGCTTCGCCTCTGGCAGCACGCTGTTGTTCGTGATGCCCGCTAGCTGGGGGTGGGGGTTTACAGGGGGAACGGGGAAGGGAGAGAGAAAAAAAGGATGTGAGGGCAAGGAGGGCAGGGCAGCACGCACTGGATCAGCCGCTTCGCCTCTGGCAGCACGCTGTGGTGATGCCCGCAAGCTGCGGTGGGGCCGAGGGGAAATGGGGGAATAAAGGGGAAGCACTGTCAAGTATATTATGTCCACAACCATGACAAGGTGCAGTGCGGTCCAATGTGGTGTAGAGAAGTTCAATGTGGTCCCTGACGCACCTGGAAAGTAGCTCCGTTGTGCACCACATCATATGCCAAGGGCAGCTCGATGGACTCCCTCAGAGGCATCATGAGGTGTGGTGCAGTGCAGTGTAGTGCAGCACGGTACAGTGCGGTGCAGATCTTTGCAGAGAGGTTCAATGTGGTCCCAGACGTACCTGGAAAGTAGCTCCCTTGTGCACCACATCCTACGCCAAGGGCAGCTCGATGAAATCCCTCAGAGGCATCACGAGGCACCGATGCAGTGCAGTGCGGTGCGTTGTGGTGCGCAGCCGTACACAGAAGTTCAATGTGTTTCTAAACATACCTGGAAAGTAGCCCCATTGTGCACCACGTCATACGCCAAGGGCAGCTCGATAAAATCCCTCAGAGGCATCACGAGGTGTGCACGCGAGTACATGTCCTCCCGGCCCTCGTCAAAGCCCACGGGCGGAGGGGGGATGCCCGTGAAGTCACGCTGCACGCACATGGGAGAGAGGGAATGCATGGGAAATCACGAACAGAGGGGCCAGATAAAGAACGCATCACGAGGTGGGCGCGTGAGTAGATGTCGTCCCGGCCCTCGTCGAAGCCCAGGGGTGGAGGGGGAATGCCCGTGAAGTCACGCTGCAAGCACAGGGCGAGGGGAATAACGGGGAGTTGGAGCACGGGGGGAGAGAGGCATGACGAGGTGTGAGCGCGAGTGCATGTCGTCACGAGCCTCCTCGAATCCCAGGGGTGAAGGGGGAACACGAGGTGGTTGAAAGGGATGCGAGGTGGTGAAGGGGGGGTTGGGATGAGAGAAGGTAGAGGCATCACAAGGTGCGAGCAAGAATACAAGTCAAAGCCCAGAGGTGCTGCCATGATTCACTCTGCGCTGCCCACTGCATGTGCTGATGCTATATGTGCTGCTGTTTGCAATGCTGATTCAATTGCTGCTTGCATTCCGCTACACTCACTCACCCGATCCCATAAATACTCCTCCATGGTCACAGACAGAGACGTTCATGGCCGCACGTTCCTCGTGTCCTTCAGCACCAGGTTCCTGTAGTGCTGCTGCTGCTATGGTTTTTGAGAATTCTCAAAAACCAACCTGTAATGCTGCTGCTGCTATGGTTCTCACTGCACTGCTCTAAGCGCTGCTTGGTGCTGTGCTTTCTATGTTGCTCTCTGTGTTGCTCTCTGCACTGCTTTCTTGCACTCACCCGGTCCCATAGATCTTCTTCCATGGTCACCGACAGCGACGCCCACGGCCACACGTGCCTCGAATCCGTCGGCACCAGATTCCGGTAGTGCTGCTGCTGTTGCTGTGGTACTCTCCGTTCCTTCACATTACTCACTCACTCACACATACACTGTACATCTCATACACTCACCCGGTCCCACAGGTCTTCCTCCATGGTCACCGACAGCGACGTCCACGGCCACACATTCCTCGTGTCCGTCGGCACCAGATTCCTGTAATGCTGCTGTGGTGCTCGCTGCACGGCTTGCTGCCTTGCGCTCTGCACTGCTACTGTGCGTGATGCTGCTTGCATTGCCGCCTGCATTCCTCTCATCAACATCTCACACTCCACTCACCCGGTCCCACAGGTCCTCCTCCATGGTCACCGACAGCAGCGTCCTCGGCCACGCGTTCATCGTGTCCGTCGGCACCAGGTTCCGGTAGTGCTGCTGCTATGTGGGAATCACTTTTGAGAATTCTCAAAAGTCGTTCCTCGTGTCCGTCGGCACCAGGTTCCTGTAGTGCTGCTGCTGTGGAGCTCAGTGCCCTGCTTGCATTGCTCACAAGCACACCTTAGCTTACAGTGCACCTACCCGGTCCCACAGGTCCTCCTCCATGGTCACAGACAGCAGTGTCCACGGCCACACATTCCTCGTGTCCGTCGGCACCAGGTTACTTCCTGTTCTGCCCTGCCCCAAGGATCACTGCCTGTGTTCCTACAACTCACCCGGTCCCATAAGTCCTCCTCCATGGTCACGGACAGCAGCGTCCACGGCCACACATTCCTCGTGTCCGTCGGCACCAGGTTACTTCCTGTTCTGCCCTGCCCCAAGGATCACTGCCTGTGTTCCTACAACTCACCCGGTCCCATAAGTCCTCCTCCATGGTCACGGACAGCAGCGTCCACGGCCACACGTTCCTCGTATCCGTCGGCACCAGGTTCCTGTAGTGCTCGCGCATCTTGCGCCGGGCGGCGTACAGCGTCTCGTCCGGGAGCTGCTTGAGGTCGAGCCCCATGCTGCGCCCCGAGATGTGCACCGAGAACTCGTACATGGACAGCACGCGGTCGAGCGGTTCACGGAAGAGGGTTGTGACGCCCGTGGCGGCGCCGGGAGGGAGCAGCGTGGTCATGCCGTAGTCGTCGTGCGTGGCTAGCAGGCGACACCCCATGCTGGTGGGGCGGAGCGTTTAAGGTCGGGGAACAGGGGAAGGGGCAGGGGCAGGGGGGGAGAGAGAGAGATAGGGTAGGGAGAGAGAGAGGCGGTTGAGATGTGTAGTGAGAACTCGTACATGGAGAGGGCACGATCTAAGGGCTCTCGGAAGAGCATTGTGACGCCCGTGGCGGCGCCAAGAGGGAGCTGCGTGGTCATTCCGTAGTGGTCATGGGTGGGTGGCTGGCAGGCGACACACCCCATGCTGGTGGGACGGACGATTAACAGCAAACAACAGCCAAGATGCAGTGGCATGACATGCTGCAGTGCGCCTGCCTATTACGGAGCAATTTTGTTCGTCTGTAGACATCTCAGGAAGAGTCAAAGTGCGTGCTGCCTAATAAACAAGTGGGACTGCAGATGTGAGAGTAGCCACCTGCTGCTCACTGAACAAAGGGCATAGCACGTGGTTGTATGATGAGGCGCCTCAAAATACACCTCACTACAAAGGGCATAGCACGTGGTTGTATGATGAGGCGCCTCAAAATACACCTCACTACAAAGGGCATAGCACGTGGTTGTATGATGCCATGTTGCACTGCATGGAGCTGCCTAGTGGGCTTACTGAACATAGCGGGCATGGCACAGCGCATGTGATGTGATGTGATGTGATGTGATGTGATGAGACTCACGTGGGGTCATCTCGTAGCACGTGGTATGATATGTTGCACTGCACGGTGCTGGGCATGAGCGTGTGAGAGCACTGGCGAGTGGTGCCCGGAGGGCAGCACGTGGGTGGTACAACAGTACAGCAGAGCATGTGCGACTCACGTGGGGTCATCTCGTAGCACGTGGTATGACATGTTGCACTGCACGGTGCTGGGCATGAGCGTGCTCAGGAAGCTGCGAGAAACCACAGGGGAGGGAGGGAGGGCGGTACGAGGGGAGAGAGACAGAGCAAGGAAAGAACGAGAACAGACAAAAGATTCAGTAAAGCAGAGGCCCTACCCAACAAGCAACGAGCAGACGCTAGCACAGCTCAACCCAGCACTCTGCAAGGCCATCCATCCACTCTGTGAGGGCACCAATCATGGCAATCACAGCCACCCATCTTTGGTGGAACGACCTGCCTCCGCCCAAGCCACGTGCAGGAAGAAGAGCACCTGCCTGCGGTATGGGGCTTGGGCGGAGGCAGGTCGTTCGCCCAAGCCATTATTGGTCAAACGACCAGCCTGCGGTATGGGGCAAGCCACGTGCAGGAAGAAGAGCGCCTGCGGTATGAGGCTGCCCCACTAGCAGCCTGCTGCACCCGCTCCCACTGCATTGCACCTCCTATCATCACACCTCATGCAGCCACTCGCACCTGGTACTGCAAACCAGTCAAACCCACCACTGGTGATACGTCCTCCCTCCCGCGCGAGCCACGTGGAGAAAGAAGAGCGTCTGTGGCATGGGGCTCTCCCCATTAGCCATCCGCTCCTCCCGCTGCCACTGCACCTCTGCTGTCTCAGCCATCTGAACGTCCACCCACTCCTCCACCTCTTCCAATGCACCTACTACTGTCACACCTCATAACGATCACATCACACGTACCATTGGTGATAAGTCCTCCCTCCTGCTCGAGCCACGTGGAGAAAGAAGAGCGTCTGTGGCATGGGGCTCTCTCCATTAGCCATCCGCTCCTCCCGCTGCCACTGCACCTCCGCGGTCTCTGCCATCTGAACATCCACCCACTCCTCCACCTCCGCCGCACACGACGCATAATCCAGCTTGGGAGGCGGCTCCGATTGCCCGTAGCGCAGCGCTGCTGCTGCGGGGACGAGGGCGAACGACACGGCTGGAGGAAGGGGAAAGGAAGCGGGGAAGAGGGGGCGCAAGGGGTGGAAGAGGAGAGGGGGAGGGGTTGGGGGAGGAGGGGACGGAGATTGTTGGTTTAAGAGATTACTGCACTGCACCTCTGCGGTCTCAGCCATCTGAACATCCACCCACTCCTCCACCTCCGCCGCACACGACGCATAGTCCAGCTTGGGAGGCGGCTCCGCCTGCCCGTAGCGCAGCGCTGCTGCTGCAGGGACGAGGGTGAGGGACACGGCTGGAGGAAGGGGAAAGGAAGCGGGGAAGAGGGGGCGCAAGGGGTGAAAGAGGAGAGGGGGAGGGGTTGGGGGATGAGGGGACGGAGTCTGATGGTTCAGAAGGCCACGCTGTCTCAGCCATCTGCTGCGGGGACGAGGGCGAACGACGCAGCTGGCGCCAGCTGGCGCGGGCCTCGAACGAAGAGGGAAACGGGGAGAGGGAGCGACGGGGTTGGGGAAGAGGAGGGGAGAGGCGGGTCGGGTGGGAGGGTCAAAACCAGTGGCATTTCACGCTCGGTTTCAGTCATATGGCCGGGTTGGTTAAACGCAACGAAATGAGAGTCATAGGAAGGTTTTAGAGGAATAGGAGAAAAAACAAGGAGAAAAAAACGAAGAGGCCAAATTGTCTCGTCACCGCTTTCCACGTGATCTCCTTCTGATGCGTCTCAAAAGGAAAACCTTACGTACTTAAATCTTCTACCACATGAAAAGGTAGCATTGACGCACAAACATCGAAATGGGACGGAATCCATGGGGTATTTCAGGACAGCGACGCGGTGCGTAATTTGCCTCTCACACTTCAGTCAACCAATTAGCGTATAGTAAAAATGTGAAAAACGTAACAGGTAAAGTAGAGAGGAGACGTACCCATTACGACGGCGATCCACATCGCCGCAGCGCGAGGAGGCCGCATTGCTACTGCTAGTCTCGAGGAATCCATTTTCGGAGTCATTCAGATCATACAGCTGAAAGCAAAGAGCATTACGAAAGCTCAGATTTTGCTGGGGGGAATAAGAGAACGATGTTGTGCGCTGTAGAATGGTTCGTTTCTATTGACCGCTTTCAACCGCTGCGTACCAGCTCGAACATTCATAAAGTGAAGTCTGACAACTGACCAGATGAATGTCTGGTGGGACCATCCAACCTTGAGAATGCCGATAGTCCAGTCCAGATAACGAGGACGACGAACATGACGGTGATTTTTGTAATGAGAGATAACTTGCGGCGAGTGTGGCAAACAACACCTGTATAATTTTACAAGTAATAACTTGTCAAAACACCTATTTTCTGCAGACTCAATACGCTCGCGGGTTATTCATTCTTTCTCCATGCATGTGAATTATTTATTCAGCTTACCAGACTAATGTTCAGGGGTACACCCTGAGTGATTACATGGTTAGGATGGCATTTCACACCCACCCAGGTTGGCCTTCCACATGAAACAACAGGAGCCCACTAACTTCTTATTCTCACTACTCTGTAAGCACCCAGGCGCTTTAAGTGTACATTCGCATCGCAACAGAAACGAGCAATATAAATACATATTCAGCCTACTGTGACGGTGCTGATTGAGCAAGAAGAGCCATTTTCCGCTGCTCCGTCTGTTAAACCCCCACTGCCCTCTCATCAAGCCGACCACTCAACTGCTCCTGCCCCTGGCTAGGCAGTAAGAACGGCAGGGAAGGGGTTTCCCGCCATGAGTCAGAAGACATTTCAGTCAACTCCACTGCGGAGAGTGACGATGCGGTGGCGGTAACCAGATTGTGCGGCCGAGATCGCGCGAAATCCGAATCGTGCGGTCGAGACACCTCGAATCCAGAATCATGCAGTGGCTCATCGTGAGACCTAGACATCTCATAATCTGGCCTCAAGTCATCTCTTATAGAAACATCTCCCCTCACCATACGCACATCCTCTCTGCCTGTACTCAAATCCACACCTTCCCCGTCACTCATCCGCCTCTTTCCCTCCGAATTCCCCCGCACACCATGCCCCCCCGCAGGCTCTCGGGCAGACTCGAAATCTCGGCCGCCTGCCCGCGGCTGAAACCCAGGCTGCCCGAAAGGCGAGGCGAACCGCGGCTTGTCCTCAGCAGAAAAATGCCGCTTCTCCTGTGGAACGGGCGGCGACATGACCCCTTGCTGCACCTTCCTCAGCATCATGTAATCCCCGTGTGGCGCCTGTGCCATCATCATATCTGCTTCCACACTTTCTCCCGAGAACCCTCCTTGCCCTATCCCCCTTATCCCCTCTCTCCTCTCACTGCCCCCTCTACCCTCTCTTCCTCCACTACCCAAAGGCAAGTTAGGCCGGGAGATCGGGCCATTATAGGATGCTCCTTCTCTTTTTCTCCTCATCAACGAATCTGAAACCGCCATAAGGCCACCCACTTGCACCGCGCCCCCTTGCATTCCACCCCTTTGCACCCCTCCGCCTTGCACCCCACCGTGGGAATTGAGCTCTTCTGACGACCCCCCTCTCCTTATGTACATCTCTCCTCCACTCCCGGGACCTCTGAACCCCATCGCACTCCCTCCCTCTCCTCCTCCTCCATCCCCTCGTCTTCTCCCTCCTCCTCCTCCCCCTCCTCCGACTGCCTCAACCCCTCCTCCATTCGCGTGCCTCCCCACACTGCTCCCACTCCAATCACCCCCACCCATCCCTGCCAACCCTTCTCCTGAACCTTTCCAGCCCACTCTCCCACTCTCTCTCTCACTCACTCCCTCACTCACTCCCCCACTCACTCTCTCACTCACACCTCCCATCTCCGCCCACACTTCCCCACTCCCATCCCCATCCCCCCTCATCCCCCCTGACGCCTCCCCCCCTTCTCCTCGCCAGCTCATCGCCAGCTCAGCCGGGACCACTCTATTCGGATTCTCCCCTCTCCTAAACCTCTGCTCAGGGGTGTCCCGAGCCTCGTGTTCCCCTCCCCTGTCACCATCCGGACGTCTCCGCCCATCCACCCCTCTCGACGAATCTCCACCGTTGGATCCCGAGCGAGAAAACGTCAACGTGGAATTGTAGTACCCTCGTTGACCGCCCAACCGCTCTCCACCCCTTCCTCCTTCCTCCCCACCTCCACCTCTCCCTCCCCCCCTCTCATCCCCATAATCCACCCCTATCTCAGAATCATACTCCTGCTGCCCCTCCCCCTCCTGCCCCTGGTGCTGCTGGTGCTGCCGCTGGTGCTGCTGCTGGTGAAAATGATTCCTTACAGGAGTATTCGATAACTCCATAGCAACAGCCTCTCCAAGTTCTCGCACCACCTCACTGATACTCGGTCGGTTGATGCCCATGGGCTCGACACAGAGGATCCCCACCTCAGCCACCTTCCACATGGCATCTATGAGAAATTCCGAAGGGGGGAGCGTGGGGTCGACTATTGCCTCTATGTCCCCCTGCTGCAGATGCTTCCTCGCCTGGGGTGTCACAGGAGCAGAGGAAAAGAAGAACGCGCAGAGGGAGAAAGAGGTAAAGAGGATGATTGGCGCTTAACACATAGAATGCCCACTTCGGCCACCCTCCACTTCTGAGGGGGTCAGTGTGGGGTCGTCTATTGCCTCTATGTCCCCCTGCTGCAGATGCTTGCGTGCCTGTGATGTCACGGCAGAGGGGAGGGTAGAAGGGGAGGGTGAAAGGAGATGGTGAGTGAGGGGAGGAATGGGGAAGGAACGGTTGGGAGAAAAGCAATCGAAGGTGAGGCGGGCAAGTGAAGGCGAGGAAGTATAGAGGGGCAGATTCAGAAACAGCCAGCCAAACGAGAGAAGTCCAAGCAGCCAACTGCAATCCACTGTACACAATCCAGTGCAGTCAAGAGCAGTCAACACTAGTCAACGCACGCACCCAGTCAATGATGTTCCAGTCGACGCGGGGGCGGCTGAGGTCGATGGGTTGCCGCCCGCTGACCAGCTCCAGCAGAACCACTCCAAAGCTGAACACGTCACTGCGATCCGTCAGTTGCTGCACCGTGTAGTACCTGTGAGTAGACATCAGGAGAGGGTGGATTGAGAGGAAGGGGTGAGGAGTGAGCTGCGTTCTGTCTGCAGCAAGATCCCCATCCCTGTTCTGTCTCCCTGACTCCAATCGTCCAGTTCCCAACAGTCGATGGGTAGTCTCCCGCCCGCTAACCAGCTCCAGCAGCCACTCCAAAGCTGAACACATCACTGCGATCCGTCAGCTGCTGCACCGTGTAGTACCTGGTGGGGGGGCCGGAGGGAGGAAGGTAACCAGCCGTGCCCTTGACGTTGGTGGACACGTGCGTGTTGTCCTGGCCTGGGGTCCCAGGCGGGACAGCCCAAAGTCTGCGACCTTGCTTGCCCCAATAACAGGCAACCCCTCCACGCGCCTGATCTGCATACTCACTCTGGGTCGAGGTACCCTGCAGTCCCCTTCACATTGGTGGACACGTGCGTGTTGTCCTGCGGTCCCAGGCGGGACAGCCCAAAGTCCGTCCTTCTACCCACTCCAGTCCTTGCCTAAGCACCCCCCACACAGCCACTCACTCTGGGTCTAGGTAACCGGCTGTGCCCTTGACATTAGTGGAGATATGCGTGTTATCCTGCGGGCCCAGGTGGGACAGCCCACCAAAGTCAGCCCCCTCCACTCACCAGAACCCCCCGATCCCCTTGTTATACCAATATACTCACTCTGGATCCAAGTAACCGGCAGTCCCCTTCACATTGGTGGAGACGTGCGTGTTGTCTTGAGGGCCCAGGCGGGACAGCCCAAAGTCTGCGACCTTGGCGCAGAGGCTGTCGTCGAGGAGAATGTTGGTGGTCTTGATGTCCCGATGGATGATGGATGGACGGAGAGCCACATGCAGGTACTCTATGCCTGGGATGCGGAAGGGAAGGGAGGAGAGGGGGAAAGGAGGAGGGGGGGAGGGGAGAATGGGGAATAGGGGTGTAAGGGGCTGTCGTCGGGCAGAATGTTGGTGGTCTTGATGTCCCGATGGATGATGGAGGGGCGGAGGGCCACGTGCAGGTACTTTATGCCTGGGAGAGAGGGCCACGTGCAGGTACTTTATGCCTGGGAGAGAGGGCCACGTGCAGGTACTTTATGCCTGGGAGAGAGGGCCACGTGCAGGTACTTTATGCCTGGGAGAGAGGGCCACGTGCAGGTACTTTATGCCTGGGAGAGAGGGCCACGTGCAGGTACTTTATGCCTGGGAGAGAGGGCGAACATGCGAAGGAGGGAGCCAGAGGAGGGGAGAAACAACAGAACCGCATGTGTAAGAGCACAAAAAAACAGTGTAAGGCAGGAGGGGAGTGAAAGGCGCAACCGTTGTGGTGGGAGCAGTGGCATGCTCGAGAGCGTGCCCTCCCTCGTTGACTTGATACCTTGGGCAGCACCAACCTTCCCCCTTGACCTCAGCTCCTCCCACTTTCCCACTTCCCCCTTCCCCACCTCGCCCTCACCCTACCCCAGCTCGTCCTCTCCCTACCTTTGGCAGCACCAACAGCAATGGAGAGGCGCTGCAGCCACCGCAGACGCCCCCTTGGCGCTCCCAACCGGTCTGCACCGCATTGGAACGGAGCAGGGAAAGGGGTTGATGAGATGGGGCCGTAGGGGGCAGTGGGAAAGGGATGAATGAAGATTGCGGTATAGCAAGCAACAGAGAAACACGTAGCCACGAAAATTCAAGAAGGATGTGCACACTTGATTCTGAGCCATGATTCTAGCCACAACTGTTACTGCTGAAGAACCACTCACCATATAAGTGTTCTCGCAAGTTGCCCTGCGCCATGAACTCATAAACCAGCAGCTGCTGCAATCTGTTCCCTCTATAACATCATCCCCACTTACCATATAAGTGCTCTCGCAAGTTGCCCTGCGCCATGAACTCATAAACCAGCAGCTGCTGCAATCTGTTCCCTCTATAACATCATCCCCACTTACCATATAAGTGCTCTCGCAAGTTGCCCTGCGCCATGAACTCATACACCAGCAGCTGCTCAAATTTGTACCCTCTACAGCATCACCTTCCATCTTTTACCATCCCCACTCACCGTATAAGTGCTCGCGCAGGTTGCCCTGCGCCATGAACTCATACACCAGCAGCTGCTGCCCCTGCTCCTCACAGAAGGCTATCAGCGCCACCAGGTGGGGGTGCCGGATCTTGGACAGAAACTTGAGCTGGTGAGAAAAAGGAAGCGGAAGGAAGGGGACGGAAAGGGGGTAAGCAGTTGGGATATGCGAGCGAGTCACTTTTTCAGAAACTTCAGAACGTGACTCCCAAAGAGCAGCTGAAATTTGAATGGATCAGAGGGCCACTGACAGAGGCCCAGAGCACCATATAAATGGACCAGTGGCCCGAAACCACCCGCTCCTTTCAGCTGCTGCTCAGAACCTCTCTCTGTAGCTCCTAGCTATGAGCCTCTCACTCACCTCGTTATTGAACTCTGTCGATCCCTGCATGGAATCCACCGCCCGTCGCTTCACCGCCACCACCCGCCCATTCGCCAGAACCCCGCGGTAAACCGGCCTGAACCCGCCTGCTCCAATCATCTGCTCTTCACAGAACCCCCCCGTCGCCTCCTCCAGCTCTGCTAGACTCAGAAACCCCTCAAGAGACAAAACCCCATAAGGCTCACTCTCTCTCACTCACTCACCTCATTATTGAACTCTGTCGACCCCTGCATGGAATCCACCGCTCGCCGTTTGACAGCCACAACCCGTCCATTCGCCAGCACGCCACGATACACCGGCCCGAACCCCCCAGCACCGATCATCTGCTCCTCACAGAACCCCCCCGTCGCCTCCTCCAGCTCTGCCAGACTCATCCGCTGCACGTGCGTGGACGGCACAGTGAACGGCGCCGCCTCCACCGCCAGCCCGTTGGGCGGCGCTTTTTGTCCGTTGTGCGCCGCCTCCGCTGCTGCTGCTGTAGCTGCTGCTGCTGCGGCACCTGTGGCTGCATGTGTAGCAGTGATGGCAGGAGCAGAACCTTCCACATTGGGATCACTCTTACGCTCGGATACATTCCCATTGGGCAACAGAGGCTCGGTAGAGCTGGAGTTAGGTCCGGAAAGAGGCATGGAATCTCTCTCCCTATCACTGAATTCCCCTCCTTCTCCTCTCCCTCTCGACCGCTCCCCGTCCCTCCCACTCTCACCCCCTCTCTCACTCCCTCTGTCTTCCCTTGATCCGCTCCGTGACACACCAACAGCCTGCCTCCCGCTCTCACCCTCTCCTCTTCCACTCCCCCCACCATAACCATCACTTCTTTTCCCCGATCCCTCGTCCCCATCCCCGCCCTCTCCTCCGCCTCCCCCTCCTGCTGCTGCCACTTCACCCCGCTTCTCTCCCTCCTCCTTCTCCCCCCTCTCCCCCTTCTCCCTGTCCTTCCTGGCCCCTCTAAAATACATCCACACCACCAGCGCCGAAGCAATAGCAGCAACTACTAGAGATCCCACCACAGATCCTACCAACACGTTTCTCCCAGTAGCACTTGAGTCAGCAGTAGAAGGAGAGGGGGGAACGGACGGTTCGGAAGGGGGTGCGGGGGAGATGGGGGAAGGTGCGGGCGGGGGGGCGGGGGGAGAGGACGGAGGGGGGGGCGGAGGGGGCAGGGCTCCGCAGTTGGGGAGGTCGTAGAGGCCCTGGGGGGAGCAGAGATCGTTGCCCGTGGCACTGGGGGAAGGGGGAAGCGGGGGGAAGGAGAGAAGCGGAAGAAAAGAGCTTAACAGTCTGCACGAGAGTGGCAAATGGCACGTGGCATCTGCAGTTGGGGGGATCGTAGAGGCCCTGGGGGGAGCAGAGATCGTTTCCCGTGGCACTGGGGGAGGAGGGGAACAGGGAGGAAGATAGGAGCGGGTAAGGGGAAAAGAAAGAATCAGGGCAAGTGGGCTCGGCAGTTGGGGAGATCGTAAAGGCCCTGGGGGGAGCAGAGGTCGTTGCCCGTGGCACTGGGGGAAGAGAGAGAAGGGGACGGGCGGGAGGAGAGATGGGCGAAATAAGGGAAATAAAAAGGAGGGAGAAGGAGGGGAGCAAGGAAAAGAGAGGGATTTGGCGGCTGCGCCCCGGGACAGGGGACTGTGCCCCCTCTGTGCCCCCTGTGCTGCCCCGGTGCCCCCTTGTGCCCCTGCGCCCCCTGTTCCCCCTGTGTCCTCCCCCTTGTGCCCCTGCGCTGTGCCCCGGTGGCCCTGTGGCACTTACACGACTTGGATGAACTGGGTGGTCAAGTTGAACGGAAACACTCCCGTGAGGCTGTTGTTTGCCACGTTGCTGCAGTGTGCATCCAGGAGAGAAGGAAACACAGAGGGGAGCCCGGATGGGGAGTGGGCGACTGACAAGCTGCAGAGAAAGCAAGAGAAGGACGAGTGCAGTGCAATGCAAATGACTTGCAAACACAACGTGCACTGGTGGTGGTGGTGGTCGTCGTCGTGGTGGTGCCAGTGCGGGGTCTGCTCTGAAAACAGCAGTTACCTCACAGCTGGAATAGATTGGTGAGATTGGTGAGCGACTGGGCGGCAGCAGAAAGAAGTGGGAACGACTCACAGCTGGACCAGATTGGTGAGGTTGGTGAGCGACTGAGGCACCCCCCCTGTTAAATGGTTGTTCTGCAATAGACTGCACGCCGCGGGGGAAAGAGACAGAAGAAGGATACGAGAGGCAATGGTGGAAAGAAAAGGGGTTGTGGGGAACGGGCGAAGGAGAGAGGGGAATAAGGCTGGATAGAGACCAAGGAAGAATCTTTGAGGTGCCTCAAGAAGCGACTAAGGAACCGATCTTTTAGGCGCCTCAAAGACGATTTTTTAGGCGCCTCGAAGACGATTTTTTAGGCGCCACAACGACAGAGACCAAGGGACGATCTTTGAGGTGCCTCGAAAAGCGCCTAAGGAACCATTTTTTTAGGCGCCTCGAATACGATTTTTTAAGCACCTTAAAGACGATTTTTGAGGCGCCTCGAAGACAGAGACCAAGGGACAATCTTTGAGGTGCCTCGAAAAGCGACTAAGGAACCAACCAACCACTCAAGTTGGTTGCTCTGCTCTGCAGCTCTTACTTTCCAGGTCTACTTCCACGCCTAGCAAAACTTTCGAGACCTTTCATACAAGGTTTTAGCAAAGAAACAACCTAACGTTTGCGCGAAGCACCAAAGGCGCAGACTGCGAAGGAAGGTTGAAGGAGTCCGAGAGAGGGAGACTAAACGAGGGGCAGGAGAAGGGAAGTGAGGAAAAGGAGCGGGACGAGAATGATTTTGGCAGGGGGACGGGACGAACTGTGGCTGGAAATGGAGAGAGAGGGAGCGAGGGATTGGGGCAGCGGCAGAGTGAGGGTGCAAGAGAATCAGGGAGCAAGGAAGTGGGGGAAAAGGCGAGCAACGGACTGAGGGAGTGACGGTGAGAGGGAGTGAGGGAGCATCGGAACGAGGGAGCGAGGGAGTGCAAGAAAATATAAACTGGCGGAACAGAACGCTCGTAGACTAAGGGAGCTGGGACCCGCTTGTGAGAATTCTCAGAAGCAACTCCAACATGTCTGGCAGAACAGTACAGAACACAACACGCACAGAGTACTTTTGAGGCGCCTCAAAAATCAGAACAGAACACTCACAGAGTAGAGAGATCCCCCAGGTCGCCAAGGGAGCTGGGAATCTCGTTCTCCAGGTTGTTGTCGTTCACCCAGCTGGTGGGAGTATAAGGGGGGAGGAGGGGGGGGGTGGGGGGTGGGGGGGTGGAGGGTTTGAGAAAATTCAAAAAGTCGCTCACGAGATCGCCGAGGGAGCTGGGAATCTCGTTCTCCAAGTTGTTGTCATTCACCCAGCTGGAGAGCCATGGGGGAAAACGGGCCAGTCAAGTGACAAAGGGGAGATAGGGGGGGGAACAGTCGGGCACTTCAAGGTAGGAATCTTGTTCACCAGCTCGTTCTTATTGAGCCAGCTTGGGGAGGAGGAGGAGGATGAGGGGAGTTTTATGCAACACCGCCAAAACAAAAGAGATAAGGGGGGGGAAGACGGAGGGGAGCAGACAGAACCAACAGAAGTAGCAGAGACAAGCAAGTGGGTGTTGGAAGGACGAAACTCGAGTCCAAAAAGGAAGGGACCGAGAAGGGCGAGAGTGGGAGAGGCAAGCCTGAGAAGCAAGCGTGGGTCACTCACAGGTGTTGGAGGCGAGAGACGTTAGCCAGAGCTGGCGAGATGGGGCCGTGGAGACTGTAGTTGCCCAGGTAGCTGGTGGGGGGGAACGGGGGGGGGAACGGAGAGGAGAGACTGTGGGTGCAGAAAGCAGAGAGAGGAAGGAATGCGGAGATGGGGCCGTGGAGACTGTAGTTGCCCAGGTAGCTGGTGGGGGGGAACGGGGGGGGAACGGAGAGGAGAGACTGTGGGTGCAGAAAGCAGAGAGAGGAAGGAATGCGGAGATGGGGCCGTGGAGACTGTAGTTTCCCAGGTAGCTGGTGGGGGGGAACGGGGGGGGAACGGAGAGGAGAGACTGTGGGTGCAAAAAGCAGAGAGAGGAAGGAATGCGGAGATGGGGCCGTGGAGACTGTAGTTGCCTTTGCAAAAACTTATTCCCCTCCCCCCCACTCACATGCCGCTGACGTGCAATGCGCTGTCCCCCTGTGCCTGGACGCACTGAATGCCCGCCCACTTGATGGGGTTGCAGGGGTCCGCCCCCTGCCACCCCTCTAGTGAGCTCTGAACATCCATCTCCTTACAAACTCTCGTTCCCCCCTCGTTACTCACATGCCGCTGACGTGCGATGCGCTGTCCCCCTGTGCCTGGACGCACTGAATGCCCGCCCACTTATGGGGTTGCAGGGGTCCGCCCCCTGCCACCCTGCCAGAGACATTGGCGCTCCCATCCCTTTCTCTCTCCCACCCTTCCCCCTTTTCCTCCTCCAATCCCACCTCCCCGCCCCCCCACTCACATGCCACTGACGTGTGACTCGCTGTCCCCCTGCGCCTGAGTGCACTGAATGCCCGCCCACTTGATGGGGTTACAGGGGTCCGACCCCTGCCACCCGGCCAAAGACGCTGGCGCCCCCAGCAGCCTTTGGAAATCGCGCAGGGCGGAGACTGAGAAGGCAGACGGGGGGGAGGGTAGCAGGGGAGTGGAGAGGGAGGGCAATTGGTGGAAGAATGGAAGATAGGAGGGGATGAGCATGACGGAACCGAGAAGAAAGGCCGTGTGGGTCACTTGATATAGTTACAGGGGTCTGCCCCCCTATCTGCCACAACACACTGCCAGAGACTCACGTTGCCCAATAACTGGAAATCACGCAAGGCAGGCATTGGGAAGGAGACGGAGGGAGAAGCGGGAACACCTCGTACATCTCCATACCACTGATTGCCATGTTGTGAGCCAGCTCGAATGTTTTTGAGAATTCTCAAAAACACCCTGCAGCACCACTGATTGCCATGTTGTGAGTCAGCTCGAATGTTTTTGAGAATTCTCAAAAACACCCTGCAGCACCACTGATTGCCATGTTGTGAGTCAGCTCGAATGTGAACTGCCAACTCAAGAATACACTCACTAAGTCGACTCGTGACTCACCTTCATCAACGGGCGTTGGCTTGGCAGCGGGGAACACCTCGTACATCTCGATGCCGCTGATGGCTGGCGGCAGGCGGCTGGTAGCGACGGGCCTGAGCAGCAGGATGGCGGGGATGTAGAGATCCACACTCGTAAAATTCACCACCACCATCACCACCTGCTGCGCGTACAGGCTGCTATCAGTGCTGCTGCTGACACTGCTGCTGCTGACACTGCTGCTGCTCCCAGAAAAAGGAGGAGGAGCGGGTGCAGGAGCTGTGGCGGAAGGGTTAGGAAGGGTGGACGGAGCTGCAGCAGCAGCAGAAGGAAGGGGAGTGGCAGGAGCAGCAGCAAGGCCTATGGCAGCTGCATGAGCAGTCACATCGCCACCACCCTCAACAGCACCACTTCCCACCAAGCCACTTCCACTCGCACCACTTCCCCCAACGCCACTTCCACTCACACCACTTCCCCCCACGCCACTCGGCCCAACCCGTGCCGCCCTGCCCGCCCCTTGCAGCTGCAAAAACAAATCAAATCTGCCAACCACCACCTGCTCGTTCAACACAATATCAAACACCATGTCCCCCGCCCGCTTCACCCGCCCCTCCACGTTCGTAAAGTACAGAATCAGCTGGAAATTCGCAGGGCTCTCGAGGAATTGAAACTGGTATTCCAGGCCACTGCTGCTGTCCATGGTGCCACCGGGGGCCTGTGGCACTGTGCGCGCTGTGAGCTGTAGAAAGGCAGGGGCAGCGTTGGTTGTGCCGTTCCCTGTGATTGCTTGCTCTGATGCTGCTGCAACCACTGCTGAACTTGCTTCTCCCGGTGCTAGCGCTTCTGCTGTCCCTTGGCCTACCACTGCTGCTCCTGCTGTCCCTGCTGCTGCTGCTGCTGCTGCTGCTGCTGCTGCTGCTGCTGCTGCTGCTGCTGCTGCTGCTGCTGTTGCCGCCGCTTGCGCCGATTCCTCTGCTTCTACTGACGCACTCTCCCCCACCACTGTTCGGCCCGAATCCCCAGTGCCAATCGCAGCAGAAGTAGCTGCAGCCACGGCTCTAGCCCCTATAGCCGGCTTAACGTTAATCGGTGTGCCAAAAACGTAGGAGTCGAGAGAATAGTCGAACATGAGGGTGGACGAGGCAGCGCCCCCACTGGTGGCCATCACACCATCTGCATCCCAGATGCGATCTAAGGGGTCGTAGGGGTAGCTGGAGGGGTGGAGAGATGTGGAGAGGGGTGGAGACGGGTGGAGAGGTAAGAGAGTAGTCGAACATGAGGGTGGACGAGGCAGCGCCCCCACTGGTGGCCATCACTCCGTCTGCATCTTAGATGCGATCCAATGGGTCGTAGGCGTACCTGGAAGGGTGGAAAGGGGTGGAGAGAGGCGGAGAGGGGTGGAGACGGGTGGAGGGGTGAGAGAGTAGTCAAACATGAGGGTGGAGGAGGAGCGCCCCCACTGGTGGTCATCACGCCGTCTGCATCCCGGATGCGATCCAATGGGTCGTAGGGGTAGCTGCAGGGGTGGACAGGGGTGGAGAGGGGTGGAGAGGTGAGAAAGAGTAGTCAAACATGAGGGTGGACGAGGCCGCGCCCCCACTGGTGGCCATCACACCCTCTGCATCCCAGATGCGATCCAAGGGGTCGTACGGGTAGCTGGGAGGGTGGAGAGGGGTGGAGAGGGATGGAGAGGGGTGGAGAGGGGTGGAGAGGTGAGAGAGTATGAGGGTGGACGAGGCAGCGCCCCCACTTGTTGCCATCACACCGTCTGCATCCCAGATGCGATCCAAGGGGTCGTAGGGGTAGCTGCAGGGGTGAAGAAGGGAGGAGAGGGGTGGATAGGTGAGAGGTGAGAGCAGTCAAACATGAGGCGGCGCCCCCACTGGTGGCCATCACACCGTCTGCATCCCAAATGCATTCCAAGGGGTCGTAGGGGTAGCAGCAGGGGTCGAAAGGGATGGAGGGATGAAGGGACAAAGGGGTGGAGCGATTGAGGGGTGGAAAGGTGTATATAGGCATTATGAGGATAAGAGCAACATAGAGGAGGCACATGGCTTAAGCGACCATACATGCACTAGGGAGAGAAGGCAGCACAGCACAGCACCGCACAGCACAGCACCGCACAGCACCGCACAGCACAGCACAGCACAGCACAGCACAGCACAGCACAGCACAGCACAGCACAGCACAACACAACACAGCACAGCACAGCACCACACAGCACCGCACCGCACAGCACAGCACAGCAGATGTGGTAGTAAATGCCAGCTTCTTCACTCACCGCAGCATGCGGTTGGTGCGCGAGTCGTTGGCGCAGAAGATGCGCCACCAGATAAGTTAATGCGCACAGCACAGCACCGCACCGCACCACACCACACAGCACCGCACAGAATGGCTTCACTCACCGCAGCATGCGGTTGGTGAGCGAGTCGTTGGCACTGAAGAGGCGCCACCAGAGCAGCATGACTCCGGAGGGGTCGGGCAGCGACACGTATGACGCCGGGGGCAGCGGCCTCAGCTCCAGCGCGTTCACCAGCGGCTTGCCGTAGATGCTCACGAAGCACACCTGGGGAGAGGGGGGAGGGAAGGTCAGAAAGGTAAGGGAAGTGACCGAGGGAGACGTTGGGGGGGCCCTCAGCTCCAACGCGTTCACCAGCGGCTTGCCGTAGATGCTCACGAAGCACACCTGGGGAGTGGGGGAGCGGGGGGGGGGAGAGGGAGAGGGGAGGGGGGGGGCGGGTGGGGGAAGTACAGTTGACTCAGTCTCCTTGCTGATAATGGCCTCAGCTCCAGCGCGTTCACCAGCGGCTTGCCGTAGATGCTCACGAAGCACACCTGGGGAGTGGGGGAGAGGGTAAGGGGAGCAAATGGAAATGCAGGTGATTGAGTGCGAACCAAGAAGACTCACAAGTCCCAGTAATGGCCTCAGCTCCAGCGCGTTCACCAGCAGCTTGCCATAGATGCTCACGAAGCACACCTGGGGAGGGAGGGAGGGAAGAGGGAAGGTCAGAAAGGTCGACTCAGATGTCTCTTTGAGAGACGCTGGGGGCAGCGGCCTCAGCTGCAACGCGTTCACCAGCGGCTTGCCGTAGATGCTCACGAAGCACACCTGGGAGAGGGGCGGGGGGGAATGAAAAGGCAGGTGATAAAGTGCGAGCCAAGAAGACTCACAAGTCCCCTTGTACGAAGCAGCGGCCTCAGCTCCGGCGCGTTCACCAGTGGCTTGCCGTAAATGCTCACGAAGCACACCTGGTGGAGAGAAGAGGGGGGGGGGGTGGGGGGGGGGGGGGGGGGGGGGGGGGGGAGGAGGAAGGGGGTAGGGGGGGGGAAGGGGAGAGAGAGGTTGAGGGGCCCGGGGGGAAGATGGGGGGTTATGGGAGAGGAGGTTGATTGAGAGAGAACTACTAAATTCAAGAGTCTGTTTGGCTAATGAATCCAACACCACTCTCTCCCTCAGAGCTAGGTGTGTTCCGAGCCGAATCAAACCACACCGCAAGCTCCTTTTTTCCTCGTGATCACTCCTTCCATCCATCACATACCTCGAGCTCTGTTGAGTCAACTTGGCCGATGATTTCTGACACCACCCTCTCCTTCAACGCCAGCACCACCGTCGCCCTGCACGCAGCACGCAGGGCAGCACACAGCACAGAACACACAGCAGCATAGCCGATTCCAAGCATCTTAGATCAGTAGAAGCATTTACCACATGCATGAGGAGAGGGTGGGGTGGGGCCACGCAACGACGCACCGCAATTAAGGGTGTGAAGCGAAGCCAAAACAGAATCAAGTGTCAGCAAACAAAGAGCACATCATAACCACACACACTCACGCGAATGAGATCCCAAAGGAGACGTTGAACGCGGGTGGGCTCTTGGCCTTGTCATAATTCCCATAGTACATCACCAGCCGCAGCAAATACCTCCCAGGCTTGGCCACAGGGATGTTATAACAGTTAACGGGGTACTCTGTAAAGACTCGCATGGTCGCGTCCACGTCATACGGCCCCCATTGCTTGCCCTTGGGAGGGGGGGCAGTGCCAGGTACTCCTGTGCTGTAGTATTGATCCGGCTGCCACCTTATTCCAGTGAGTTTGTCCACAAACGGGGGACCCGTGTATCCGCAGTTGATACTAACGAAGCCTGCAGAAAGAGAGGGACGCAGGGACACAAGGGCATATTAGCACGCGAAAATAAGACCAGTGCACTGTAACATTAGCTGTACTGTATTGTACTGTACCGTACGGTGTACTGTACACCACCCCATACATGGGTTATGGGAATACTACACGAACGCTCAAGCTCACAATCGTTTGCCTCACTGTGGCTCGCCAGACCGTCCGATGCTCGTCCAGCTGCCAGATTTTCGCCAAGCCGTCCACTGTTCGCCTAGCTGACCACTGGCCGCCCAATTTTCGCCTAGCAGCCAATGCTCGCCTAACCGTCCACCACTCGCAACTGCGAAGCATCGAAACCCTAATCCGGTACATGGTCAGGCTATAGCTATATGGTCGCAAGTACCTGCTGGACATCGAAACCCTAATTCGGTATACGGACACCCTCGCTTCTTGAGGAGCCTGGAAAATGGTTGTATGGTCCCAAACAACTGCTGTACATCGAAACCCTAATTCAATACGCAGACACCCTCGCTTCTTGAATTGCCTCGAAAGTGGGGGTATGGTCCAAAGCAACTGCGAGACATCGTAACCCTAATCCGGTAAACTGTCGTTCTCGAGCTTGAGGCGCCTCAGAACGCTTGTATGGTCGCAAGAAACTGCCATATACACGGTCGACAAGAGTCTCAGCAAACCAAATAGCACTACCTTGTTCGAAGCTAAACAATGCCGACTCTGCGCAGACCCATTGCACACCCGTCGCCAACTTCGCAAACTCCGCAGACTTCGCGGACTACAGAGTATTCGCCGTAACAGCTTCTCCACTGCGACATTGTCGCCACCACAAGCCCCTCTTACTGCGGTAGAACACGCTAAACACTCCTCAGTACTCCTACAGAGCCGGGCCGTAGCCATACTTCGCTCCGGAACAAGTGACTACCAGTGGCCTGGCAAAGCAGCGATTCTTTTAGTCGAGTAAAAAAACTCCGCTCCAGAACAAGTGATTACTAGCAGCCTGACCAAACAGCAGGAATCTACACGACAGCTAAGCAGCGGTCCCGATTAGGCGGCAGTAGCACCTATCTAACACTGCCAGAACAACGCGACCTGCAGCAAGCCGAACCCTAATGTCTGTAAAACACCACCCTGGAGACAGCAACTGGCGAGCGATTGCAGTAGATTAACGAAGTGAGTGGCAACCCTAAACTCACGAAATTCCGCTTTGATACAGCTCCGCACGAGCTTCTACCTAAGCAACCCTAAACGAAAGTAACAATGATAACTGCGGCACGTTTGGCCATTTCCTAACCTCAGTAGACCACTTCAGCTTCAGTATGCGAACGAGGAAGAGCAATGGAGTAGATTTGGTCTTCACCGACCGCATGAATTCCAGAAGTTACGGACTTCCAACGTAAATAAACGATTTCATAACTAAGCACCAAGCACACGCTGCCACTTGCCTGCTTGAGAAGGCAGACTCGTCCCAGTATTAGCTAAAATCCGCTCCGAATGCGACTGAGAAGTGAGTAAGCCCGATGACGTTCCTGGAATTCTGGAGGGATGGACGGCTATGATTGCGAAGGATAGAAGAAGGGAACAAGCTTGTAGGTGATTCCATTTGACAGCTCTTGGTCTTGGCCGCTTGTGAGACGAGCTTAAGCAAGGCAGGCCGGGACTAAACCTGTAACCAGCAGGGGTCAGCATCCTACTGAGTTCGACGCTGCTGCCATGTGCTGCTGCTACTGCTACTGCTTTCTGTATGCTCCTGATCCAAATCTCCTGATCAAACAACAACTCCAGTGGTAAAGCTTTGCTTGCAGTCTAACCAAATTCTGTGAAAAGTTGACCGCGACGGACTAGAGTGCCACGACCTTTCCAAGTCATCAACTATGGCGATACTATGCCACTACTCTGCCCTGCACAGCTGAGCGTCGTGCGAGTTCACCCTCCGAGCTGGCAGTCCCAAATCAAAGCACAACCGCAAAGACTGTTATGCCTTTTGCTTGGTTGGGAGGGGTTGATGTACGTGTGTGGGTGGTGCGTGAGGGAGTCACGTGAGTTGAAAAAGGGAGGTTAACTAAGGTGAAGAACGATTTCCTGCTTTCATATGCGGTGAAGGTTTGATCGTCAAAATCAAAGTGACAAGATCGAGAAGGGTGGATGGAAATGATGAACCGCCAATCTCCGTGGCTTGTGCCCGGGCGCCTGCAACGTTACCGGCTACCCGTCCCCATCTAACGATTTTCGGGCTTCTGGGCAGGCGGGGAGGGGAGAAAACGTGACGTTTGGTTTGACATACCTCTAACGTCAAGTGCTGACTTGGGGCTACGGCTGGTGGTGGTGGCTGCCTGGTGGGTGGGATGTTTGTGGCTGGTTACCCGTCGACGAGGTTGGGGCAAAGCAAGCAACCTTTCGAACCTAACCGGACACACGTTCGCAAACAATTCTTTTGGGCAACCCGTACCACAAAACCTTGGTTCACCACAACCCACGCCCACATTTGGCTTCGGAACAAGCGACAGGGAAACCTTTTGTTTCAGGCCACTGGCCCAGGCCAGATCTGGTCGAAGCCTACCTGGAGGTACGGAAAGTGCCACAGCCTCGGCTTTGTCTGGCTTTACGAACCGCCCAGGCCGAAGCGGATTCTGGAGCCTCCAGAGCTCCACTGACACGGCATCCCTCCCGCTAAGCATTCGAGAAGGGCCTCGAGGAAGAGCTGCGATTTTGATTACAACGATGTCTAAAGAACTGCAGAACAGTATTTTCATAAAGACATTTCACAACATTTCATAAGGTCTGGACTGATGGCCTAAACCCTTAGCAGAACGACATATAAAACACTTTGGAAACCATTAAAATCTCATATATTATTTCAGAAATACCTTTGAAATATTGTCAGAGTGATCTTAGAATTACTATTACTCTCCTTTAATCCGATTCCAGCCAATGTAATATGCAGTCGCCTATGTCTGTAACAGCATTGCGAACAGACCACGCCGGTAAACCCATGGCGTCAGATCTTCTTGGAAACTGGTGGTGGAGGCTCGCTCTCCTCAACTCTAGGTGATCGCAGAATCGCATAACGACTGAATGCGACCGCTCTGGACTTCTGAAGCCCAAAACAACAGCCACTCTGGGTCCCACCTGACATCGCAACTGGCCAATCAGCAAAAAAGGTGGTGAAAACATCGTTGTGGCCAAGCAAGGAGCACCCTCCGTCAATATCGATGCAGAGGGACTCGCCTGCTGCACTGCGGCCCAACATCTAGGCAGAGGCTCCGTCCAACCATTTCTTTGAATGGGGCTGTGAGGAGGACTAACACAAGCAGCAGTTGGCTATTTTGCATCAACTTACGAGAATTCGCGAATCTCTAGAGCTTCGTATAAAGCTTGTGGTAGCCTTAGAAGGTTATTGTGTTGCTGCTGCGGTTCCGCCTTTGCTAAAGAGCAGTAAGGGGAAGGTGCTCGGTTTCGCACATTCAGTCATGGCTGAGACTAAGCCCAAGGTTTTCACGTTAGAGGAGGTGTCGAAACACAACACCGAGAAGGATTGCTGGCTGATCGTGTCTGGCAAGGTGAAGCAACGACGCTCAAACCGGTTCCATTCTCCATTTTAAATCAGATCTGGACGATATGTTACCGCAGCCTCGTTTATATATAATCAAGTGGAATTTCTCATTGTACAGGTCTATGACGTGACGAAGTTTATGGATGATCATCCTGGTGGATCCGACGTCATGGTCTCATCTACCGGTAAGCCCAACCTTGTAGATCGTGTTTGCAGACGGATCTTTTTTAATATCACTTAGTACGGATGTCATCCTATGCTTTTCTCTTATACTTGTCGATGTGCTCGTCTTCAGGCAAAGACGCTACCGATGATTTTGAGGACATTGGCCACAGTAAGACAGCCAGAGACATGCTCGCTCAGTACTACGTCGGTGAGATCGACGAATCAACATTACCAGAGAAGCTGAGTAGGAACGGAAGCAGTGGAGGAGGGAGTCAGGAGAGTACGTCAACGTTGAAGCTGTTGCTGCAGTTTTTAATACCCGTGCTTATGGTGGTGCTGGCTCTTGCGGTTAGATCCTACACACAGGTTCCCAAGGTGGAGAGCTAATTTGACATGATACTATGTCCAATAAAACCATTCTAGTCAATCGGTTGCTATGCGAGGGAGCCCTACTGTCTGCTCTCAATCTTCTAGACAGTCCAGCTATGCCAGTTTTGACGGACGTCCACACATAAACATGCTCTGCACTTCTCAACACGACCTCGACCACCTCCACCACCACTCCTCTTCTTCCTCCTCCTCCTCCTCCTCCTCCTCCTCCTCCTCCTCCTCCTCCTCCTCCTCCTCCTCCTCCTCCTCCTCCTCCTCCTCCTCCTCCTCATCATCCTCCTCTCCATATGCCTTCGCCTCCTCTCCGTCTCCTCCCTCCCTAACCCTCTAACCCCCCCTCCTCCTCCCCCCTTCCTTCTTTCTCTCCACATGCCCCCCCCCCCCTCCTTTCCTCTCCCCTTCCTCTTCCCTCCCACCCATCCTCCTCCCCTCTCTCTCCTCGGCCTCCCATCCCCGCCCCTTTCCTCTTCCTCCCCTCTCCCCCACTTATCCAGTTCCTTGTCTCACTTCCTCCCCTTTTTCCTCTCCTCCCCCCCCTGAGTGCATGGCAACTGACGAGAAGCTAAAGCCTTGTGTCTCTTACAAGAGAGCAAATTACGCCAAATTTGGTGATATAGAAAAAATAAATCTTACACATCGTCCCTTTTTTCAACCATTCCAGATCTTCTCACAATCTCGGGGTATGCTTGAACTAGGTAAAAAGACAATGCGGATCTTGGTGGGGCATTCCAGCACAAACCACAAGGAGACAAGGTTCCGGTACTATGCATGACTGCCGTGACACAGAGATGCAGCACTGCATACATAGACATGTCCCACTGAAGCAAGGACTGCAACTGTACATGCTCCGGTGAGCAGCCAACAGCTCTACAAATGTGGAGAAACTGAATCACCAGATCTTGCTGCTTCCACTCTCCAAGCCAGGCATACTGGTAGCCCTCACGTATCTCCTCAGCTACTTGTTCATACTTTGGTGTGAGTGGGGATGATCACCCGATCCACCCCATGGGCAATGAACCATCGGCCTACGTACAGCCCCGGGATACGAATGGTGGTCCACTGGTCTGCCTTCAAGTACGGCCCTCTAGCAAACGACACAGCGCTGTTGTTCCCCATCGGCGTCATCTTGAAGAGCGGCTGTCTCAGCTGCGTGCCTATCGCCGTCCGCAGCTTCACCTGCCTCATCTGCGGGAGGGTCATTCGGCGGCGCAGGATGTGGAACGCTGTGATGTTGTACAGTTTGGGGATGCTGCTGCTCTTAGCGGGGATTCTCTTAGCGAGGGCTTCTGCCTGCACGTTGTTGGGGATGAGGATGGACGCGTCTCGCAGCGCCGACAGATCGTACTTGGAGTTCACTGCAGGGGCAGGGCGGGGGGGGGGGTTGTGCAGGGGAAGGAGGCAAGGGAGGGGGCGGGTGGGGGGAATGGAGGGGGATGGAGAGCGGGAAAGAGGGGAGAAGGAAGGCACAGTGAGTAATTTCGGAAACAAAGAGGGGAAAGTGGGGCGTTGGGGGAAGGGGAGGGAACTTGGCCCAGACAAGATGGGAATGAGCACGAAACGGGCAACTTGGTTAGCGAAACAAAGAGGGATTCAAGGTACTTGGCCACGTAGTCGCTGGTGCAAGGGCTTACGTGCGAAGTTGATGTATTTGGTGGCGTCCTGCGCGTATCGCGAGTACTGCGGGTACCGCTTCACGATGCTCTTCGCCATGCTCTGCAGCTCCGCGCGCAGCTGCGCCTTCGTCGGCGGAGGAGGCTGCGCGCAGCTCGTCGGAACGCACGCCGCCGCCACGCACATGACTGCTACGAGGAGCAAGCCGCCTCCGAGTCGCGCCGCCATTTTCCGGTGATTGCCACGAGCTTCAGACACGTAACTGCGCCTTGCGGATGGTATCGCCCTTGAGAGTTAAGAGTGTAGTACACGCTGATCGTTGAGTTTGATCGCTGATCGCCCTAGAGAGACTAAAGAGGATAATCCTGAGATGGAGAGTATGGGCTGGTTGGAATTTCTGAGGGGCTCTATAACAGCTGGTATTATCGTTGTCGTTGGAATTGTTCGTCGAGCTGGGAGCTAGGACGTCGTCGTATTAGGCTGTTGCTAAACGGTTGTGATGTATGTAGGTTCTAACCAAGCCGTATTAATAGGCTCACGAGAGGTGCCGTGCTGGCCGGAGCGCTCCTGTCCGGATCGCTCCTGGCCAGATAGACCCTTCACAGCTCGCCCGTTCCATGTAACGCCCAAAGGCGCACACCGCGACGACTCGCCGCCATGGACACGCGAGGAAGCTGAGTCGCCGCCAGCAGCGGTGACATGCGGGGAAATCGCTGCGCCATTGTCGCCATATAGACGCCGTGCCGCGCCGATTCGGCGCGGAAGGGCTGGCTAGATAACGCGTCAACATATGGTGTGATCCTGACAGGAAGACGAGCGAACCGTCCTTTTTCTACATTTCATCCTGTGAGAATAGTCACGTGTGTGAGCGGGTGTGAATGTTCCTAGCCGACACCTCTAGTCGAGAGCATTTGTGAAAGTTCCGTTACTGCGGTCTAGAAGGTTTTGATCGCGTTACAAAACGGTTTGAACGTGTTTAGAGAGCTGACCAATGCCTCCGATCTTTTGGGGGCCGATCTCCATGCTAGGGTGAACCTTGATTGCGTTTGACGCGTGTGCGATGACGCCTGTGCGAAGACGCGTGTACGAGGATCCTGTGCGACGAAGCCTGTGCGATTCCGCGTGCACGACGACCTTTTTGCGAAACAGTGATTCGGTGCCACGAGGTGGGGGGGACGGTCAGTGGGACCAGTCGATCAACTGTATGCAGGTTCCGGGTGTACTCTCAAGTCATAGTGGTCCTTTTTATTCTCTTCCCATACCAAGTGCACAAAAACATCGGGCATGTCATGCATGTTCTATTTAGCAACCACGAAAAAAGGAGGATACCTGTGCCATATACTTGTGTATGTTACAACCCCATGGGGGAATTAGCAAGGATCTGGCTCAGGGTTGTTCGCGGGTAGTTTGCAGCGGAAGTGAGAATTGACGACACCTATCAGAGTGAATGCAAAATGGCATATGTGATTATAACCAAGAATTACAAAGATTTATATAAGTTTACAAGGGAATACGAAGCGACCTAGCTAGCCATCAACTAAGGGTTACATTCCCTTATCACAGCGAAACTTAACCGTGCGGCGCGGGAACCCGTTTTATCTCTCTAATGTATCTCCTGCGACGATCTCGATGCTTCAACTGCTTTCGACTCCTCCGGTCATCTCGACTCTTTGTCTTCATCCTCGGTAGTGCTTTGTCTCGGTTACGTACAGGAATGATGTGTTAACTCCTTATCATATCACCCCCCTTCATTCTTGGGAGTAGCAAGTTCTGACTCGCTAGACCATTCCGCTGAGGTTGGCGCAGTGTTGGTACTGCTGACGTGACAGTCGCTTCATGAGGAAGTCAACTGTCATGCCACCGATAAGACAGTACGTCAAGTTAACCTCCCCCTTATCAATTTCGTCCTTGACGAAGAAGTATCGCAGCACGATGTGCTTCGTGCGATTGACGAAACCAGGTTTGTTTGCGATCTTGATCGCGCTCTGGTTGTCACAGTGGAGGCAGAAGGTTGGTGACGTCGCAATTTTCTCCTCTTGCAGAAGCTCATGTAGATAGAACCCTTTGCGAACTGCAGCGGTGGCGGCGATGAATTCGTCTTCCGTCGACGACAGGGCAACCAGCTCTTGCTTCCGGGAATCCCAAGAGATTGGTCCCGTCGACTCAAGCCAGATGAGGAATCTGATTCTTGACCGTGGATGGTCAGGATTAGCGGCGTGATTGGCGTCTATGTAGTCCACGAGGTTGAATGACTGAGTCGGGATTGTTGAGTAGGAGAGACCAATGTTGGGTGTTGAGATGAAATAATGCAGAGCGCGCTGGAGATCCGGAAGGTTCTCAGCCACTGGCTTGCGAGAGTAATGGGCCAGTTGGCTCGTGATGTAGGAGAGGTTGGGCCTGCGGGTGTCTAAGGCGAAGAGCAAGGAACCCAGTTGTTGCTGGTAGGTGTGCAGACCTACCGGGGACCAGGGCTGTCGATTGGTTTGGAGCCAGAACTTAAGAGGCTGAGGTGCCCCAAAAGTTGCCCTGAAATTTACGGGCTGAGAGCAAACCTGGCACTTGAAATCAGGGCTACCAACCTTTTTGCACTTTCGCTAAGGAAAAAGCTACATCTCTTCGGAGAAAAGTTGCTTGGCGAACTACTAAGAGCCAGCTAGGCAATAGACTGAGGTACGCAACATGTCGATGGATTTGACGGGGATGGGAAAAGGAAGGAAGTAGGGGAAGTGGCTGGGAGGAGGTGGGGGGGCGGGTGAGGGAATGGGAGGGAGGGAGGTATTAGTATGGGACAATAAGGGCTAGCCGCGGGATCTGCACTTGAAATCCGGGTTAGGCCCACAACCAGCACTTTACGGGGACGGGCTGCCCTCAAAGCCAACCCTTTAAATTCGGAAGCTAGGCCAAATCCAACCCTTAATGTTCAGGGCATTAAGGGCATTTGCCCTTGAATCGTCAGCCCTGCCGGGGACATGTGTTTGTTGTCCGGTTTGTAGTTGGATCCAGGCGTGCGGTAGGGAGTTTAGAGTGGTGCAGGTGAGATGTTGGAACACTCCCCAAGTGTTTCCGCATACTTCGGAGCTAAGAGGTGAATAGCTTGTGGAGCGTAGGAGATATTACCGGTAAGTCCAAGGAACTGCCTCACGTCATGATTGGTGATGATGTCAACGTGGCTTCCTAGGTTCCCCTCGAACTGATCAAGCAAAGTGTTGCTCGTCCCTGTGTATAGTGGATCGTCGACATAGACAGTGAGGAGGACGTAGTTGCCATAGAAGTGCAGGCGGTACATCCATGGATCGTGGGGAAACTGAGAGAACCCAATTTCAATCAGGATTTTGTGCAGATGCTATTGGCAGAGTCGGGCGCCTGCTTGATCCCGTACAGCGACTTCTTCAATTGACAGACTCTTGAGTCCCCTTCCCTGTAGGTATGTGGATGCTCCACTTATATCACCGCATCTACCAATGCGTATAGGAACACATTTTTCACATCAATTTGTCGAAGTGGTAGGTGCCTGGCGGCGGCAATGGTGTGAACAATGCGCATAGAAGTGTGATGACTTACGAGGGCGAAGGTTTGGTCAAAGGCGATTCCATGGCGTTGGTCATAACCGCGTACGACTTAACGAGCCTTGAAGCACTCGATGGAACCATCGGCTGCGGTTTTCACGTGGAAGACCCATTTGCCCGACAACGCTCGTCTTCGTTTTATTGCGGCTCGATCGACAAGCACCCAGGTGTCGAGCAACTCTAACGCTCTCAGCTCCACGTCCATTGCAGCTCGCCACTTCTTGCTGTGGGGATTTGTCAAAGCTTGCCTCGGGTTTTCTGGCTCGATGACTCTTGGAGCTGTGGTTGTTGCGGTGTGAAGCCCGAGTAGTTGCAGCCTGGACACTGTAGTGTTCTGACGGTGCTTAGGGGTGAATTCCTGTATATCGTCATCGTCGCTTTTGGGCGCATGTGAGGCAGGTCGTGAAGGGTCTCTACCACGCGATGGTCCAGGTGGTGCTTCGTCATCGTCGTCGTTTTTGTCGCGGCGGCGCGGATTAACCCCAAGATGTTCCCTGGGGGCATATTGGTCGAGGATTGCTGCGTTAGCCTTGTCTTCAGTGGTTGCGACGCTGCGTCCGCCGTACGCGTACACTAGATCCGTGCCTGCTTGTTGGTCTGCGCGGAACTAGGCGAGGGTAAGCCTTCCGTAAAAAAGAACATCGCGCGCGGGTGCGATCTTGCTGCTTAGTAGGTCGAGGATGACCCATGCCTTGTACTCGTAACTAATGCCGAGATGAATTCCCCATCGCACGCGGCTTGTGAATTTCCTGGTGGTTGAGGTAGCGGGCCTGTACAGCACCATGCAACCCCACACGCGGTGCATTCTAGTGTCGCACTTCTTGCCCGTCCACTTCACGTGCGGCGACGAGTAGGTGGCAGGGAGCCTTGACTGCTTCAGGAGCGCGTGCACCTTCGTCATGAGCGTGCGATTCGTTCGTTCCACGACTCGTTGCTGCGGGTGCGCATATATTTGTGATAGTTATATGCTACACTGAGGTGCCCCTTAGAGGGTATAACGCTTCTATGTTTCCCTATTTGTACCACCAAACTACCTAGTGCAGTCATTCCGCTGTTCACATTCTGAGATGGTATCATCTCTAACTAATTCCTAGGACCCTAGTTCCTTTCGTCCCGCAGTCCCTCCGATCTCCGCTCTAGCTCCGCGAGCATAGCTCCCTGCCTATTGGTTAGGATAGAGTGCTGCCGTGCGCTGCCTCATGCTGGCCTGCACTACCGTGCGCTGCCCTCCGCTTCCCCAAGCGCTGCTCCCGCGCTACCCCGCGCTGCCCCACGCTGCCGCGCACTGCCGCGCGCTGCTTTCTCCGCTGCCCCGTGCTTCCCCGCGGTGCCACGCGCGGCTCGACGCTGCCCTGCATTGCTGCGCGCTGCCATTCGCTGCCCCGTGCTCTGCTTCTTGCGCTGCCTCACGCTGCTCTGAGCACACAAGTGCATGCACAGGCGCACGCACATCCCCCCGCGCACGCTGACGCTGCCACACAGCAGCCGCATGCACATGCACAGCTACGGTCGCGCGCGCATGCACAGCACAAGCCGCTCGCGCATACGCAACAGCAGCCGCACACGAATGTACAGCATCGCGCGCACCCACAGCAGAGACCACGCGTGCACACGCGGCAGCAGCCGAGCCCGCGCAACCCCCCCCGCACCGAGAGCCGCCCC